TTATATTATTTATTTAGCCTACAGTTAAAAAAGCGAATCATCGACTGATTACTTGCCATTGGTTAGGGTTCCATTATCATGTTAATGAAACCAATCAAGAAAACAAATTCATCAGCATTGATATAGGTACATATTTTTGGTTAGTGAAACATAAAGAATCGGAAACTACCTCCAGGGTTTACTGTTATATATTCTATCTTTACTATCTATATAGATTGTATATATATACAATGCATGTTGGGCTATATTATTTTAACCTTTTTTCCTTGGAGCAACAGACAGTAGATACCTGGTTAAAATCTACTCCAAACAATTTTATTTTTCCGCCCATTGGAATTTGTTATAGTAATTAATGAAAGGAATATATGTATTGCCTGTACAAACCTATTTCAAATTTTATTCCCAGGTTATTCTCTAGAGTAACTGTTAAGGGGATCCAGGCTTCAGAAAGTGAAAAAATTGCCAAAATTCACTTCTTTTTTTTATAGTATTTTATTGTTATTTGGTTATTTATGTACAAGAAAATATAAGTTTTATAGGTATCCTACACGTTTTTCATAACAAAAAATATATTTTCCCCAGATACTACATGCGCGCGTCTTAGTATTTTCTAGGACTTCGATCGCGATTCCCCAAAAGTTGTGGTTTTTAGTGTTTTGTAACAGAAAATTTGATATATCTCAGCCAATTTTTGTCCTATCATGTTGAAATTTTTACCAGATGTTCTTTATAGTATTTACAAACTTTTGGGTATAATTATTAATATAAGTCAAATAGTTAAAATAATAAAAAAAATTTTATTTGAAATATAGTATAAGAATTTTTTTTTTGTTTTTCAACCTTTATAAAATAAAAACTAATTATCCTACTAACAAAGTAATACCCAGGATTTCAGTAAGTGTACATAGCTACAAAAAGACACCTAGTTGAACAAAATTGATCAACTATTTTATGAGTTATATCAAAAATAAAAATGTGTTACGTTATGATACATAAAAATACATAAAATGGTACTGTGGTACATAGAGTGGCTACAACAAATAAAATAACAGTTTTTAGGCCCATTTGATATAATAAATATCTTAAAAAAATGATAAACATAAAAAATTTAAAAAATGTATTTTCTGAAGCCTGGATCCCCTTAAGGTTATTCCACTCGATAAAATCATAGATTAAACACTACAATTACGTGTCAAATTAAATGTTATGAAATTTAAAACAAAAGTTTTGAATACATTTTCAACATATGTTTTGAAATAAAAACAAAACAGAAGTTTTCTAACTAATCTTGCATCGTTGATTATTTAGTCAATGGGGCTATTTCATGTTAAACATTCCTTCAGCACAACAATAACCTACTAATGTGAAGAAATGTAATCAAAGTAAAATAATTTTGTAAACTTCGTGAACATATGTTTAAAGAAACCAAATCTTAAATGTTTCAGCCATTCTACTTCCATTTACTTTGATTTTAACCATCTCCCACGATTCTACTAAATTTCATGCGCTTGGCTAATTTACATACAAATACACAAATTTGCAAATTGCACAGTAAAATTAATTTCAACATTCTAAGACATAACGACAAAAGTCTCAATTGTAGGTAACGTCATCCCTGGTTTTATATAGTATACAGTACATTGCAGAATTTACTGGCAAATGAGTTAAATCCAAATGTAATATTGCTTACTGGCTTAGATGAATCACGATCAGCTGTATTGAGGTAAACAAAAATCAACAGACAAATGGCTTCTAATGCTATTCTTATGGAGAACATTTTACCTTATATTATTGACTAAGTCAAAGGTTTTATCTAATTTTGTGTTAAAATTTGGGGAATTTCACTATTTTTCCGGGATCGAGACCTTTAATTTGAACCCTCTCCCGTCGTTCTACGACTACCCAGTCGCCCACAATTTTGACGCAAAGAATCGGCTTTCGTAATTAATATATAGATAGATATTTAATTTCCACAAAATCAGTTAATGTAACCAATGCGTTTCGTTGAATTGAAAAACAAAGAACACAATTAAATTAAACAGCTGATGTAAACAATATTATGTTCTTCGAAAGGATAACATGGGAACTTAAAAAGCCACTGTGGCAGAGGCCAAGGGACTTTTTCAAAAAATTTAGGCCAGTTTGCAAATCTACGCAACACGCTCTTTCCAATGAGACGTCAGTGGATAAAATCGGTTAAGAAATGGTGGAGGATTCAACCGACAAACTTCGTGTTCGCGTATTAATTATATAGATTTCATATGTGCATGAAATGTTGGTGTGAAACCAACTTGTATAACTTTAAGCTAAATGGTTTAAGTTACCTGGCTTCGTCAAGTGATCCTTCTTCAGTATCACACTACTATAGTTTCGGACTTGAAAATAAGTCCATCTTCAGAAAACGTCAATAGGTCATCTAACCAAATTGGTTAGATGACCTATTGACTTTTTTGTTAACCTGAAGATGGACTTCCAGAGGCTACCTCACCATGTATACCTTTGAAGTAGAGGCTATATTTATTCCCAAAAGGTATCAAACGCCAGATCCTGATCAAATCTTTTCTATCACTTTAAAGTTTGTTTCGTGTTTTTAGTCTTCACGTACAGAGACTTAAATCTTTGTATTAAATTGTTAGCAATCATAAATCGTGGACAGAATCTTCCACAAAAGATAAATACAATATAGTTCAACACCCTAGAACTCCTAAAAAAAAAAAATATATTTTGTTAAGGCTTCGTCATAATGTTAAAAATACTCAATACAACAAATTCATTAATTTTACATATGTAAACGTTGATAGTTGTGTGCGTATTGTATTTTAATATATCTTCTGTATACATATAGTCCTCTATATTTTCTGTGTACACAAATGCTTCTGTATACACGTTTTTGCAACTCACAGTAACTGAGAAATATTCTAAACTGGTGAACTGTTTTTATAAATTTTTGCCATTATTTCTCAACCCGTGCTTAAAAAATTAGTGACTCGTGGATAAATCCAGATACGAAATTTAATCTAAATCGGACCACAGGTTTTGTCTGTAGCTCTGTATCTGGATCATACAAGTGTGTATTATATAACCTGATATTAGTCAAAATATGTTTTATTCTATAACGTTTAATTTAATTAAACATAAAAGTCATGCTCCCTCCAGTCGTAAGTATTCAGTCCAAAAATGTAATAAATTTACTTGTGCATACATATTTATTTCGTTTTAATAAATAATTGAGGTGATGCAATACACTTATGTAGGCAGTCGCAGCAGTCGAATCCGGGCATAGCGCCTAAAGTTTCACGAACGCAAACCGCGCAACGAGTAGCTAAATGAGCCGTAGAGTAAGTGAGCCATCTAATATTTTGAAGAGGGTTCACTTACTCTACGGATCATAGTGCCAATGAACTGTAGAGTAAGTGAGCCATCTAATATTTTTCTGCAGGCTCGTATAGTATACGAGCCTATTCCTATAATTTATATTATTCATTATTTTGGCTCGTATACTATACGAGCCGATTCCTAAATTATCAAATAATTCGTAAGCTTGGCTCATAGTCACTATGATCTGTAGAGTAAGCGAACCTTCCTACTGTATTTTTAAATATAATACACGAGGCTCATAGGCACAATGATTCGTAGAGTAAGTGAACCCTCTTCATTTATTTTTTATTTTCGATAGGCTCGTATAGTATACGAGCCTGTAGTGCAAGTGAACCTTCAATATTATTTAAAAAGCTCGTATAGTCTATGATCTGTAGAGTAAGTGAGCTGTCCCCTCATGTACTAGCTACTCAACACTCCCTGCGAGTGTCGGTGCATACCACTGAGCTAAAATTATAACTGGAGGTAGCACTGCCATGGCAGAAGTCTGTCAAAAGCGAGTCGCTGATTTTGTTAGGTTGGTATAGCAGTAAGTTTTCTTACCATAGCAATAACATGGCTTCTTATAACTAGGTTGGTATAGCAGTGAGTATTTTTGTCATACTTGAATACTTTTAATACTTTAATAATTTTCTTTGAAATGGTGACCATACAAAGTAGGTATTTTAAGCCAAGTATAATAATAGTTATAGCAATAATATGGCTTCTTATGGACACCCACCTCACGCAAACATGGCGGCTGGCGACACGCATCTTTGACATTCAGTGCTACCTCCAGTTAGAATTATAGCTCAGTGGTGCATACAGAGGATTCATAGCAAATGACTACGGCTTTAAATAGCAATATTGTCCTTTAAACCTTTCGTTTATCGATTGTAGTTTTCTTTTGTCATCGTTAAACCGGTTTATTGTGCCTGAATAATTTAGTATCTATCTATATATTAATAGGCAAGCATGTTTCTTTAAAACCTTTTTTCTCAGCTCGTGTTCATCGCAGGGAAAATCTGCGCATACTGTTGGAAAGATATTTTCCTGTAGATGTGCAGAATGCATTTAAAAATTTAAATAGACTAACAAATAAGCACAAAAAATGAATTTGAAAACTTCAAAAAATTAACATGGACCATATGGGTTGCCATGATGGTGACGAAATAACAACAAAATGTAAACAGAAAATCAAAACAAATGGAAGAAATTCCAATCACATGTTTTATTTACAGTGTGGGGAGAAAATAGAGAAGTCTGTACATTAATTATTTTTGGTCGAGTTTCGACCACAGGACGACCACTAGTTACAAATAAATAAATAAACTAACATGTTCTATGTTTTAGTGACACCTAGCGGTTACTACTAGTACTAGGTAAACTGCTGCACACTAATACACTCTAGCGGCGAGTTGGCGAACTGCGGCGCACTTTGGCTAGTGAGAGTACTGAGTAGAGTACGATCGTGAGACAACGGACAACGACAACCCATCAACCCATCTCGTCACAGGTCAAGATCAAGATCTGACCAAGTCCAAGTGTGTAGTGAACTGAACGTGAACAACAACAACAACGACTTGACATCTTTAGAGGTTAGAATTTATTGATGTAAACAATAAATAACAAATGATTACTGTGTCTGCTCTGTCGGGACGGGATGGTGATTTTCGATTAAGTGCTGATTTGTAACTTATGTTATGACTTTTATTGTTTCGTTGAGCTTTCTATTTTCTAACCTAAAAGTTTTGAATTTGTAAGCTGTAACAATGAATACAAAAACTTATGTTATAGTTTGTTATAGGTACTAAGTAATTTACAGTTGTAACAAACTAAATAGAAGACAGGAGTAAGAGTAAGTAGGCTAATATGATTTTGACTATAGGCCTACTTAAGTTAATGTATTTTATACTCTGGCTTAGTTCAGCACCATTAAGTTAGTTACCACAGTCACACCTAAGTTAAATAATACAAAAAGTTTAAGTTACTGATGGGATTCTAACCAGGGACCTCTTGAATATCAGCCGAGCACTATCCACTTTACATAACAAAAACCGATGGCTGAAAATCGTATCGTGGTAAGTTAATGGCGTTCCGGGTCCCCACAACCCAGAGACGTCACTGCCGGATGCCTAATCCACGTCCGGTTACCGTCGGACGCTTATCCTCTGTGTAAATAAGTTAGAGGGTAATGTAAACTTTTAAAAAAAATTTGAACAACGCAGAGTACTTATTATTTTGAATTTATTTCAACCTTATCACGCTAAATTCTTCGTTTCTACATATTTATCAGGCCCCTAAGACTCTGTAGGGATTTTTATCCTCAGTATTAAATCATATTGCACATAAGTTATATTTATTTTACATACCAGAGCCTAAAAACGTTAAATACTTATTATTTAAAGTTTAACTTGAGTACTTAGTTTTATTAAATTGGTTGGAATAGAATAAGTTACTCGTATGCCCTAAATTACAGCTTCAATTTTAAGTTAATGTTAGGCAAACTTTTCAAAAACACTTTAACTTGCGGATGATAAAGGTCCACCTGAGTGTCTGCAGGATTTCCTAAGCATTTCTAGAGCTCTGGGCCTTTGATAAAATTTAATTAATTGATCAGTCAAAACTGAACGGTTTCATATCGACCCCTGGAGTACTTAGGCCTACCGGTACTTGAATGATAAAAAAATGGTATGTAGTAATGAGCACTGTATAAAAAGAGATACTGTAGTTTAAAACTCTTTGACTTAATAAATTATTTAAAGATAGCCTATTTAACGAAGAATTTTTATTTGAAGGATAATTTATTCAGATCAATTCGCTAGCATTATTAATAGTATCAATTTATAGAATACCTGGCAATAAAGTTACAAAGGAATTTCTAAGGAATCTTAATAATATTTATCTGTCCCAGGACTTTTTACCCAGTATACAAATTACATTTTACATTAGGATTTAAGTGCATTCAACTTTTGCCGTAACCCTCTTCAATTAGGCTATGCCTAAAGCTTTCAATATTTGTTCCAATAACTTACTCTCCGATATATTATGAAAATATTTACAATGTAGGCCTAACTTACGTTAAATACAGGTCCTAAAAAAGTACATATGTTCTCTAATCTTATCCTCCTAAACACATAATTTTTCCTACAGTCACCCGACAAAGTTGGATTCCTTGTACTGTTTATGGTACAGATAGCTGCTAATTGCTGCATATTTATACTTTGTCGTACGGTTTATACTTTGGCGCACATCAGGATTCCAACGAAACAACACAAAACTGCGTGGTTCTATTATGCACGTAATCCGTATACGCTTGGAAATAGGTTGGCAACACTTAAAGATAATAATACTATGAGCAGCTGATTGACTATTTTAACTACGATTTAACCTGTCATTTCGTGTTTATAGTTTCGGTATTTCTGAACTTTCTGGGCTTTTCTTTTAAACGTTTTTAAAACCTTCCTACAATCTTAATAAAAACAAGAAAATACCTTTAAAGCATTTTTTAAATTTTGTTCTGCAGGCGCGGAAACCACTTCAAATTACAAAACATAAGGAACTATTTTCTTAAGTCGCGGAGCACATTGCTTGCAGCGGAGTGATATGGACCGGTGACTACTTTCTCTAGGGCACCTATATTTGTGTTGCCAGATGAATCTAAAAACCAAAAACGTGTTGTATAGTGTTTGAAAGACTAATTATTTGTACGCTTTATAGTGACTGTAGGAAAAATATAGGCTAATGTGTAACACGAGTGCAAAAGGCCTTTGCTGCACTCGAGATCATTCCTGTTCTCGTGTGCAGCAAAGTGCCACTTTGCCCACTAGTTACACAAATAACTATTATACTTGCTTTTACTGCTATTATTATCTTATAGGCTACTGCTTAATTAATATCCTATAACTTTTCCACTTTTTACTGTATGTTTTGTAAATAAAATATCTAATTAGCTTAAGTGTTAAAATTGTATGTATGAATGAGCAGATTGATAGCTAATTCAGTTGTATGTAAAAAGAGATAGATAGATAATTTACTATTATTTTCACGATTCTCTATTCTCACCTTATAATTGCAGTCACAAGATTGGGATCAGTCAGAGTGCTGTACCGGTAGCTCAATTGTCCAAGATAACCATGAGACCCACGCCTGACAAGGGAGAGGGGCCTGCCGCAAAGAGGAGAAGAATGAACCAATATCAGTAAGTTTGTGCTGCACACAGTTGAGGAATCTTGTCTTGTTTAAAAGGTTTTGACTATGTCCAAATAGGCTAGTTCATCCACTAATGTGGTTAATTATTGGTAATTCTCTAATATATTACAGTACCGGTATTTAAAAATTAAATGCGAGTTTTTTGTTTAGGAAACTAGTCGCTGCCATAGTTGCACTGATAGGCTTACTGTAGTTTGATCTATAAATATGCGACTGAGAGAGATAATTGGAGGAGATAGCTTCACTTGCCTATTCCCAACTTCACTTAACTCCGTTTGTTTTTACGATGTTAAATTAATTTTGATTCTACTGTAATTAGCTCATTGTAATTACCACTTGGCAGCTATTAGGTTTTCCATCTTGATGACAATGTTTATTGTATACCTCGTACCTAGGGCCGAAAATGAGGTTTTGCTGGCTCAAGAGCTGCTAAACCATTTTGGTCTGTGGTACAAATGCTATTCTTCACCACACTATACCCTAATACCACCATTCACCACAATAATAATGCACATTAACAGTCAACACAACTACAACTATAAGGTTACCGGTATGTGAAGAAATAATTTGAGAAATCAGCAAAAATAATAATAAATAGTAGCGGTGACAATAAAACAAGTCTATGGATGCAATGCTATGGATACTGATTGTGTATTTAATATGCATTAATTAATGTTTTGAGGAAACTTGCGAACAGCTAATTTTCAGCCCTAGGAATATAAGAACCTGCTCGGTGCCCAAAATGACGATGACAGCTGGCATGGACAGCAATACTTCTTTAAGCAATATTTCTTTAGCAATATTTCTTTCAGCCTCTAATAAATGTTTGTAAAACGGCTAAAACCATCGTAGTGTGATCAAAAGTTCTTTTTTGAGCCTTTTATATGTTCTAATTGATAAAAATTAATATCCACAAAACTAAATAAAATTAATTTTTCTTTATTTTCTTTAATTCTAAAAAAAAATATTTACTATGAATGTCATGTAACAGCTAAAAATGTTTCTTTAAGTAAAACCTTGATAGGCCTATCTTACTTTTTAGCCATTAAATAGATTCTAATAAATTTTAGTTTTTTTTTTTATATTATAAAATAATCATATTAACAATAATTCATGTTGCAGGTCAGAACAATGTTCTGATAACAAAGATTCCAATGAGAAAGACAAGACTGAATATACCGGTATATTAGTTGTAAGTATATAGTTGTGTACATTAATAAATTAGGGTGAGTTTCATATCAGCAGGGGTTTCTGTATAGCAATACATTTGACTATTGATACAATACAATAGACTTCAGTATCCAATAGTCATGGCAATACTTATTTATTTATATCTTTAAGTTAAATTTTAAGTTCAAGTTTTAGTTTTGTTTAAGGAAAGGCTCTAGGCCAGGATATTGAAGTGTAGAATAAGGTGAATAGCAGCTAGCTTACCTTGACGAAGAGAAGGCTTAGAACATAAAGCAGACACTCGTCTCAAGTGTAAATAAAGTTGATAAGATGTTACAAAATGGCTGCTGCCATGGTTGTTGCCAACTACACAGTCTTTCCAAATATCACTAGTTTATTTACAACTATGTACAACACATACTTATATTATAAGTCCCCAAGGGAAGAAATTGTGTTCTGTGTGTCTTACCTTCAATACCTGTACTTCTTCAAGCAAAGATAGCTGCTAACCTCTTTATTCTACAATTTTATATCTGAGTTTTTGAATTCATTCTGAAGAAAAGCCAAGTAGATGTTAGGGATTTTTTAGATTATAGAGTTCAGCTACCGGGAGAAGATAATAGTGTCCACACAACCGCAGGAAACCATCAGAATTTGGTCGCGACTCGGGAAGATGATAATGTCTACGCAACCCCAGGAGATTTAAACTGAATTTAACCCTGATAAGTGATCGCAGAAGACGACGGTACTGTTTATAAACGTGGGGGGTGTAAATGGGAGGTTCCCCTTCCTTCTGGCTATGATGGCGGGTTCTGCCTGTCAGGGATTAGATAGGTCCCGAGTGTTGCTTGCACTAAATGCGTCGGGGCGCTCCATTATGGTCCTCTAGGGCTTTGTACCTGGTGGAACCCAGGTGGAGTGACGCTTAAACAAGCAGCCGGAATCCCTGGTTAGGATTGAGGGGCAACCCTCTTTCCGAAGGGTCTGCTTCGGCAGCCGGCGAGCCTGATGACCTTAAGTCATCCGCCCATGATGTGCTAAAGGTTGATGCGTAAGCTTCGGCCTACATCATGGGGCCCGGGTATGTCTCACGATAGGTACCGGGTGCGTAGTCAGGGGGCTTCGTCTCTCATGACAAAGAAATAATAATAATAATAATGGTACTGTTTATGTGACCGCGGGAGATATTAATGATTTTGCCACGATTGCGGTAGAGGATTATTACGTTACCGTGACTGTGGAAGTCGATGTGTAAACGGCCACAGGGAATTATTATAATTTGGCTGCAAGTGCGAGAGACCATAATACTGTCCACATAACTGTGAGAGATTTCTTGATTTTGTCGCGATCTTGGACACAATAATCTACACGACCAAGAGAAGATAATTAACTTATGTTTGAAAGAGAGCTGGAAGAGTTTTTAGAATTTTGTTGCGATCGCGGGACGATGGTGATCTTCACGACCACGAGACATTGTTAGATAATGTCTACGCAACCGTAAAGATGATAATGATGTGGACACAGCCGTGGCTGATGATGACGATATATCCATACGACCGCTGGAAATAGTCAGAATTTTACCGTGATCGCGGAAGACGACGGTAATATCTACACGACCGATGAGATGTTCATGTTTTCCCCCCGATCATTAGGGGTCTGCGGGATTCCCAAAACATGAGATTGCTCGGGGTGAGATATCTTGCATCATTGTATTTCTTTTTAAAACCCCTTAAAAATGAGGGTTCACTTAATAGGGGTTGCTATTTATACAAATAAGTCACCCCCTCCCCCCTACTCTGTTAGGGTGGTTGTTTAACAGAGTAGGGGGTTTGTAGGGGGGTTTCAGCTGTTTATGAAGTGAAAAATCCCAAAAACCTTTGTTAACAATCAATGCTACAAACAGGATATTTCCATCTATTTCTGTAAAAAAAACATAATGATGTCTACACCATTGATATATTAGTCTAACTGGATCGCACCCTGCCACGAGAGTACAGCGCCGAAAACGAGCTGGTGCTCAATAGGCTCCCCCCACCACAAGTGGTGTACCAAGCGGCGCCAGATACTGTATCGTACAGTGACTTTGGATTTAAATGACGCACTTTGACCTGTCGGATTTAAAATTATCATTGGCTCAAATGAAAGCCGCTAATTTAATAAACATCGTTATACCAAAAATGTTAGGTTATATACATCGATGGTCTACAAAGCCGCGGGAGATGATTATCCTCTGGGTTTCCCTTAAAATATTTTATAGTCAGGGGGTAATCAAATATAAAAAGATATCAATTTTTAATTTTAATCCTGGACTTAAACAAAACAAGTTAGATCCTGATAAAAAAAAAAAAAACAAGAAAATAGAAAAAGAATCCTACTGCTTTTGTAAACAAGTGGTTATTTTGTAATGAATGTTTTTGCTGTTATCTTCTGTTTATTTTTATTTATTTTTCTATATAGCTATTCTGTGTGTTTATTTACTAATGTAATAGACCATTTCAAGTTAAGATTCTTTTGTGGTTTACATTAATCTTTTCATCAATTTATCAACCAGTTTATCAGTAACAATGCTCAGGCAACTATTATTCTCTCTATATTAAACATTACGTTAGCCCTTTTAATTTCTCCCCCTATACCTATAGTACAGCGGTTCCCAAACTACAATTTAGGTGCAATTTAGGTGGGTCGCAAAGAGCCATAATTAAACGTTGTGTATTTTATTGGGACTCCGAACAACTGGAACGGTCTGCTGTGCACAAGAATAGTACCGTGCGGGCAAGATGGTCGCATGACCGTGATTACGTACAATGTACAATAATACAATTTCAGAACATTCACTCAACTTGTTTCAGCTAGGAATTTAAATTTGAATTGTTTGGGAATTAGGGTTACACATTTTTTGTATGGATTTGAATAGATTTGGGCGTGATACTCTATTACTGTGATAAAGAAAATGTCTTTAAGGTTTTTGTAGCCAAAAACTTACAATATTGTCACAATATGCCAACCTAGACAAATTGTTTGTCATTCTTTACAACGTGTAGATTATCATGCTACGATTGGGAACGAAGATTATGACGTCACCGTGATTGTTGGAGATGATCAAGTTAGTGCCGCGGTTATAGAAAATAGTTCATCTGGATTTGTGATAGATACACAATACACAAAAGGGCCTGACCGATTTTTGATAAATATTTAATATGTTGTGGCCCTTTGAATTCTTAACAAAATGGTTTAACTCCCATCCCTGTAAAAATTACGGTTCAAAAGTTATTACAACTTTTGTGATTTTCCATAAGAAATATCATAGTTAGGCCTACTTACCCAAGATGAAGGCTATGGACAAGCTAACAGGAGAAAGTATGTATCAGATTGCTGATGCTGTTTGTTTTAACTGTATGCACATTTTCCAGACAGAACCTTTATTCATTATGTTGTTTCCGTAAACTTAACACGTTCCATTTAACTAATTTTTTTTAGTTAACATAAACTGTATTAAATGCACCTAACAACTAGCCGGGTTTTCAATTGCAACACACATTTTCATCTTGAATATTGTAACAATGGGCCCAAGGACGTTTCCAATCTCAGTCATTGGAGAAGAAGGCGTAGGCTACATGTCTGTGAAAGTGCGTAATAGGTGTTCGCCTTACACCCCAAGACTGAAACATTCCTTATTTACTGAATATCCCCTGTATTTAGTCAAATTTAAAGATAATATTAACATTATGATTTTACTTTGCAATCTCTCGTAGTAAGCTAATATTTGTGTCCATTACAGTGGGAAGACCAGTGGCTAGCAGATAGTTTGCCTTCAGAACGTCTACCCAGCCTGGGTGTGCAGTATTGCTGTTATCATGATGGCAAAGGATATTACTACCATCAAACCATGGAGTTTGGCAACATACGGTAAGAATTTAAAGTCCAAATCTGAATAATAAATACCCCCGCCGCAGCAAACCTGCAGACTTAGCGAATTTCCATTTCCCTGATTGGATTTAAACTAAAATGTCTCCTTAAAAATATCACACTTATTCCCTATTTAAACAGAATTAGTTTAATGAGTACTTAGGTTTGCTGCAACAGGGAGAGTAAAAAAGTTTTTTTATTGTAAAATGTTAAAAGATACTGTGGTTTAGTAAGAAATTAATGTATTTTAGCGAATTTCCCATATAGGGAATAAGCTATTACCGTAGTACTCATGGTAAGACCTGGACCCGGGACCGATTTTTTTTTTCGTTTTGAGGTCCCTAGAGGTCAAAAACACCATCCGTTCAAATTCATATATATATATATATTTATATATATATATATATATTTATATATGTGTCCGTTAGCGCGATAACTCGAGCAAAAACGATCCGATTTTGATGAAATTTGGTACAAACGTGTAAACCTACGTTTTATTCTAACGAGTTCGCGAACCAGCATGATCGGACCATGGGAACGGGGGTTTTTGGGGGGTTTTATGGGGTAAAAATGGGTTTTTCCTACTTTTGACTCAAAAAACATAAAATTTTGCAATTTCTTTCCAAACTATTTTGTAGAGCTTAAAAAAACAAATAATTTAGTATATAAAGCGTTATAATGCACCTAATGGTTACGGAGAAAATTTCAAAAAATTGTAAATTTAAAATTCCCATGTTATTCTTATGGAGAATAAGTAAACTGTTGTAGTTTGCTTGTTTATTAACATTTTTTGCCCAAATTTAGAAAATGTTTTTATTTCTTACTAACTATTAACATTTTACATAAAAAACACTTTTACCCTCCCTGTTGCAGCAAACCTAAGTATGTGTTAAACTGATTCTATTTAAATAGGGAATAAATGTGATATTTTTAAGGAGACATTTTAGTGTAAATCCAATCAGGCAAATGGAAATTCGCTTAGTCTGCAGGTTTGCTGCGGCGGGGGTATTTTTTTTAATTTGATCAAAATATGTTCATAAACATTTAAACAAGCAAACTACAACAGTTGACTTATTCTCCATAAGAATAACATGGGAATTTTAAAATTACAATTTTTTAAAATTTTCTCCGTAACAATTAGGCGCATAATAACGCTTCACTATACTAAATTATTTGTTTTTTTAAGCTCTACAAAACAAAATGGTTTAAAAAGAAATTGTGAAATTTTTGTTTTTTTAGGGTCAAAAATGGGAAAAACCTATTTTTACCCCATAAAACCCCCCATAAACCCCCGTTCCCATAGTCCGATCATGCTGGTACGCGAACTCATTCAAGTTTATCCCGCCTTACACCTTCAAACCAAATTTTATGAAAATCGGACAAAAATTACTCAAGTTATCGTGGGACACATAGCCTATATATATATAGATATATAAAAATTTGAACGAATGGTGTTTTTGGCCTCTGGGGACATCAAAATGAAAAAGTAAATCGGTCCCGGGCCTAGGTCTTACCATGAGACCTACGGTAATAGCTACTTCCCTATAGGGAAATTTGCTAAAAAGATTTTGAATTCCAATTTTTATAAAATACATTACAGAACCTACCGTGAAATTGCATTTTCACTACTATTTTATTAAATAACCCTCTAATTGTACTTTTATTGCGATGAAATGGGGCAGGATATTCATCTTTACACTGATTTTCTAGATGGGAACGACACAAACCTTGATCATTGTCACTTATAGACAGTAGACTATAGACATATTTCTTTATTATTATTTCTTTGAGTAATACAATAGCCCCATGTCTGTTTAAATTTCTTGCTTTACAAATATTCTGGTATTAGTGTTTCCTCTCATGGTGTTGAGGTCTTGGAGCATTGATGATCTTGGAGTCAATGTAGGATGGTTTCGTACTGAACTGAGTTGTATGATGAGCAGGAAGGCTGAAATCTGTTGCTCTCTGGGCTGGTATGGGGGAAAATCTCCATTCCTGGGAAGGTCCAGGTGGTCAGTGTATAGATCAACTGCACTGATGTAAAGTGCTTTGACATTGACCGTTGGGAGCTTTAGTGATTTGAAGGCTTCTCTGCAGCTATCTGCGAGGATTATTTACCATTTCCCTTTCTACAGTAGCTCCCTCTTATCCGGACTCCTCGGGACCGAGGCCAGTCCGGATAACAGGTTTTCCAGTTAAACCGACCTCCCCAAAAACTTGTTAAAACGGACTGTGATATTCAACTTAAATTTAGGAGAGCATTGTATTTAGACACGTGATCACTGGTCTCAAATCTTTCCCACGAGAACAGTCGTTTCAGTAATGCCCACTTCCTGCCAATCTAGTCCATTTAAACCAATGTGCTGATAAAATTGTCCGGTTAAAGAGATGTCATTTCCCTGAGTGTAGTCTGGTTAAACCAATGTCCGGTTAATAGGTGTCCGGATAAGAGGGAGTGTACTGTACGTCTAATTGTAGGTTTGGCTCTTTTTTCAGTTTTGATCTTCGATTATGTGCCATAGTGCTTTGGATTTATTTTCTGCCCTTATTATTTTGAGGGTTATTCATTGGTAATATTTCTTGTAAGATCTCTAAGCTTAGTGTCATATTTTTTTGAGTCACCATTAATTTCCTGAAATTTTTATTTCCTGTTCAAATCCGCACAGTGCAGCTAGAAATTCTTGTTTTAAGAGGTGTGCCTCATAATCATACTGAACTTTAAGTTTACCTTTTTGCTTCATTCTTACTTTATTCTAGGGTAAACATAATTCAGTAGTTTCCGAACAGCTGTCAAATAGTTATTTGTGTAACTAGTGGTGAAAGTGGCACTTTGGTGCACACGAGCCGCAGGCGAGTGTGGAATGATCTCGAGTGCAGCAAAGGCCTTTTTCACTCGTTTTACACATTATATTTTTCCTACAGTCACTATAAAGCATAAAAATAATTAGTCTTTCAAACACTATACAACACGTTTTTAGGTTCAGCTGGCAACACAAATGGTGCCCTAGAGAAAGTAGTACCCGCGGTCCGTATCACTCCGCTATTTTTCCTTCGCAAGAAATGTGCTTCGCGTTTTGAGAATCTAGTACCGTATGTTTTTGTAATTTGAAGTGGTTTCCGCGCCTAAAAAAAATGCTTTTAAGGTATTTTCTTGTTTATTAAGATCGTAGAAATGTTTTAAAAACGTTTAAAAGAAAAGTCCAGAAAGTTCAGAAATACCGAAAAACACGAAATGACAGGTTAAATCGTAGTTATAATAGTCAATCAGCTGCTCGTAGTATTATTGTCTTTAAGTGTTGCCAACCTATTTCCAAGCGTATTACGTGCATAATTGAACCACACTGTTTTGTGTTGTTTCGTTGGAATCCTGATGTGCGGCAAAGTATAAACCGTACGACAAAGTATAAACCGTACGGCAAAGTATAAATATGCAGCAATTAGCAGCTTTCTGTACTATAAACAGTACAAGGAAGCCAACTTTGTCGGGTGACTGTAGGAAAAATGATTTGTATGTTTTCCTTTGTGTTTTTTCACAGTTTCCAAGTAAACTTAAGCAAACTCATCTCTCAGACAGACTGTCCAGGTTTTTCTTATATATTTTTTTTTACTTTCTCGTGTCAGCGGGACCACTGTTTGCACAATACATGTTTGGCCAGTATGATCTGATATTCCTGTCAGGGCCACAGCAGCAATCACAGTGTCTTCAGGTATGATGGTACAAAATGCAGTCAATAGTACTGGAGGGGCTGGTTATTCTTGTAGGTGGAAGAGGGAGTCGTCTAGCTCCAAAAGTAAGCATTCCATATTTTGCCCTCAAAATAAGTATTGACTGTTAGTGTTAACCTGTCTATGTTGACGTCACCTATTAAAATTAAGGGTAACAATCAGTGTGAAATGAGGTATGTGGGATAACACATCAACTGCTAGTTTGAATGTCCTTCTGGTGGCTGATAAATAGTAAGAATGTAGAAAGTTTTGTTTTTTATTGTAATTTTTATTTATGCTACTTCACAAATTAATTCCATGCTTTTGCTAGATTTTCTCAATTTCTTCTGCCTCAATTTTTGCTGTCTCCTTAACATAGATTGCCACACCACCCTTTCTGTGGTCTTTCCTGCAAAAATGTTACTAGATTATAGCCACTGATTTTAGTAAGTTATAAAGTATCTGATCCAAGTCCGTGCTCCGTAAGTACTACTGCTGTAGGCTGATAGCTGCACTAAATGGTTTATTCTTTCTACCTTTTTTGTTAATCCTTGAACATATTGATGGGAGATTATGATGGGGGTGATTTTGTTTTCGGTTTGTGTTTGTTTTTACAAAAAAAAATCTACGATGTTGAAATTGACCCTCCACTGACATTCGGCAGTTCGCCTTTGTATCAGTAGAAAGCAGAGGTGCAGCAGGCTGTTTAGTCGACAAATCAGCAGCGACAATGGGGATGGCCTCTTTGTCATTGCTTATTGAACTTTGTCCTACTCCAGAGATATTACCATTAATTAATTGAAGAAGTTTTGTTCTGACCTGCTCTATATTTTGGTTAAAAAAGCTTGAACTGATGTGGAGGGATCTAGTTTAGTTGCTGTGGTTGGAGGCGATCTAGTGACCTTGAAAGTAGAGCAAACTCCTTTTGGGATTTTGGTGGTTTTAGTTTTTTTTATTTGTTGGTTGTGGTTGACTTTGGAAATGTTCTGGCGCTTCTTTCTTCAACTTGATTTGTGCTATTTGCAAGGAAACTGAAGTAGTTTTTCTTTGTAGGTGCCAATTAGTTTGTTTTTATTATATGTTTCTCGTGTTGGTGTGTTGACTGGCTTGCAAAGAATCTTCTTTTTCTCCTCAGGTATTGTTGAGAATCATCTCTTGTTACTTACTTGGGAACTCGCAAGCTTGTTGGGGGACGTGTGTATTGGACGTGGTAGTGGTGGATGGAATAAGGTGATGTCTCTGAACAAATCCTGTCCCAATAAAATCCTGAAATAAATATCTTCTGAAGTTTTCAAACTTATTTCGTCCAAAAACTTAATAAAATTTCAGCATAAGTCCATCCCGGAAAAAATCTGATTACATAATAAGCGTTCAAGATACATATTTAAAATAGATTCTGTTATCCCATTATTCGCAGGTATCTTGCGTGTGCCGAGGTAATGTGTCCAGTGAAGGCTAGTATGAACACGCAGAAGGAGGCTCCTATCATCGTCTCTGGTCTCAGGATGGGACACAACCACCGTCCTGATTACATGCTGAGAGAGGCCTTGTTGTTTGTGGATGCCGTCAGAATACGAACACGCTCAGGCATGTCCATATCATCCGCCATCTCACTCGAGATCGTCAGGTAAATAGTATGGATCAAGGTTGAGTTTCCGTTGATTTTTTTTTTTTTATTATTAACTTCAAATTTTTATACAGGTAGCCTACATATTAAACATTTTTGTGTCAATGGAAAATATTTTTTTTTAGTTTTTACCATGCATATTTTCATTAAAAATTAGTGTGTTGTATTCTGATGGTACATATGTATTCATATGCTTATTTGTGCATTTTCATAAATTTTTGCTATTATGGTTAGCCTGCTGTTAAATGTATTCTTAGAAACCCGGCCTAAAGCCATATTTACTTGTGATGGGTCGGTTGCTGATTTTATCCGGTCGGTTTGATTCCGGCTCGGTTCTTTTGCAAGTCGTCAGTTTTTGGTTTATCGGTTATCTTCTTTAGTGAATTATTTAAATACAAATTTGCTCCCTACTCATGCAAAGTTAGTTCACATGTTTAAAATTTAACTTGTACTTCATACGAGAACTATTATATTTTGAAGCAAGATTAGGTAAGAATGGGGGTTTTTATTGCATCATTACCCATAAACAAAAATTAGTAATTAGATAAACTTTTTATTTTATTTTTTATTTTCCAACAAACTATGGTGATGAGCACGGCAAATTGCACAGTAACCGATAAACCGAAACTGACTTTTAAAGTCAATTCTCAGTTTCGGTTTTATTGCTAAAAGCCGGTAAAACACAACAACCGAATTTAACAACCGACCTATCCCTAATCTTAACTACAAAAAATAGTAAAAATAACAATGTTTTTTTATAGTTCCTTGCCAATTGTTTAATAAACATGAACATTTCAGAAATCCAGCTGGTGCTGAAAGAGTCAACTTGATAAATCTTAAGAATTGTCTGGAAGAATGTGCCATGGTAGGTTTATTTAGTATGTTTGTATTTTGTGAAAACAATACAATGCAAATTGTTGGTGGTCATAATACCACATCAAGTCCTTCACCAACGTTACAGCTTTAATGTTCGACCTTTCCTCCTGCTGAATTATATAGGCCTAAGTGACCCACAATGAAGTGACAGATAAGTTTGTGCAGACTGTACCAACAAAGCAGATTCTAATACAATAACTACTAAAAATGTTGGACTGAGAAAGTTATTTTTAAAATTTTAAGACTAAATACCCTCGCCGCAACAAACCTGCAGACTAAGCGAATTTCCATTTACCTGGCTAGATTTCTACTAAAATATTCCCAGAAAGTTTCCAGATTTATTTCCTGTTTAAATAACAATAATTTTAATGAGTACCTAGGTTTGCTGCTACAGGGAAGGTATTGAGGTGTGTTTTTTATTGAAATGTTGATAGCTTAGTATGAAATAAACAAAATTGCCAAATTTGATCAAAATATATCCATAAACAAGCAAATTTTATAATTTGCTTTCATAAAGATAGTGGTTTCATTGAATGTATGAAGTATCAAGTGATATCTTGGTAGTGTTTGTTTTAGACTTTGTTTAGATTTTTTTATTATTTAGCTATGTATTTTTCAGCTTTCGCAGAGTAAGAACAAAGATATGACTGAAGATGAGGTAAGATTATAGAAAATAAGTTATGAATAACGAACCGTGAAACAAGTGTATAATAGTTTAATTTGTATGTGACACTCTGATTTAAGTGTCACTTTGGTAAAAAAATACTATAGCCTATGTTAAGTTGAATGGAATTATTTTATATAAACAAACCATAATTTAGTTTCATTCTTATATTGGGCCAGTATTTTTAGAAGAAAATCAACCCACCAAAACATTGTTTTAACTGTTAAGGGAAATGTGTTAGGAATGATCATAATGTTCTGATCATTTCATTCTGAGTGGTTTGTGGTAAAATGATCTCAAAATCTATGTGATCGTAGTAACATCTTGATTCTGCCGTGATTTGCCAGTTGGTTGCTTTAATTTCAAGAGTACCACAAACTAAATTGCTTGAACATTGTAACCTGTTAAATATAAAATCTGTAATAAACTTAGAAACCAAATTTAATATGACAAATATTTGTAATTTTCTTAACACACCCAACAAAGTTGATAAGGTTTTGGGAAGTTGATAAAAAATTCACCCTGATCCTGTCTCGAAATCCAGTTGCCATTCTATCTAGATACTTATATATTCTACCTTTAAGTATTAATACAATAGGCCTTCTTCTATATTAATAATAAAATTAATAATACTATATAATACTTCAGTATCCAATAGTCAATGCTTGTACTTAATGTTATTTTTAAATATTTGCATCTGATTGTATTTGTTGGACATTTTCAGGTGAATTTTGCATCCTGCTTGATACATGTGAAGACCTTTAAATTAAACTTTTCAACAGAATCACTAATTCCTGTCCCCAACCATGTAAGTCAGCATCATATTATATGTAACTAGCTGTACCTGCGGGCTTTGCCCCGTTTAACTTCACAAGTGAGCTCATTCGCATGGCTCAATCAAGTCCTGGTTGAAGTTCGTTCGCTACGCTCACTCACCTTTAGGTTGGAGCTCGTTCGCTCCGCTCACTTGCCTTCAGGTTAGCTCCTTCGCTATGCTAACTCGCTTCCAGGTTGAAGCTCGTTCGCTACGCTCACTCACCCTTTGGTTGCAAATTGGCTGTAGTCATAAATTAAAAAAAATATTAGTGCTGCACCCTTTTGGTAATCCTTTTAACTTTAATGCTATTGAACATCATAGAACAAAACCAACTTGTTTAATTGAAACAGCTGTTAAGAAATTCCTTTTAGATATGAAAAATCATAAGGTTAACATGGGAAACTCCAGAGCCACTGGGGCGGAGCCCGAAAGACCGATCAGGATAAAAACTACTTAGTTTTCCTATTTAATGCCCAAAGAATCGGTGAATAAAAGAAATTTTGATTCTCCAAAAAAGGGCTTTAAGAGCTATGACAGGGACGCACCCTGATCATTGCAAACCTCTTTTTATAGATCTGCAAATTCAAACTGCAGTTAATTTGTTCATTTATGATCTGATTGTTTATATATTAAAAAACCCTGAATATCTTCAATTTAATAATCACAGTCACAACACTCGTTTTAAAAATACTGCGCTATTAGAATCCCATCGTCTTAGTAAAACTAGTAATTGCCACATAATTTTATCAATTAAAGTATATAATTCAGTAAAAAATAATCTAAATTTTCATTCAATTAACAAATTTAAGGCTATGTTTTATAATTATCTACTTCAGAACCCTTTTTATAGTCTGGATGATTATTTTAAACTGGGAGAAATTGTCCTTTAGTTTGGTTTTAATTTCAGTTAAGAATGTGAATGGAGTTGAATGTTAATTGTAATATTCAATAGTATGTTTATTTTAAGACTTGGTTTAAAAACTGCAAATAGACTTTGTCAATGATATGTAAATGTATCCTTATGGCAAATAAAGATTGATTGATTGATTGATTGATTGTACCGAAATTCAGCCTCCTAAGTACATGGGAAGTGGGAGAATTAGTGATGAGTGAGTGAGTGAGTGAGTGAGTCAGTCAGTCAGTCAGTGAGGGCTTTGCCTTTTATATATTTAGATTTAGATTAGTGTAGTCCAAATTTGTCTTTGTCTGCTGACATGTTGTGATCATTTGTCATTCCCACCACCAGATCATTTTAATGTCACTTTTTGCCTGTTAAAAGATAGACTAGATTTTGTAATGTCCCAACCTCATGACAGACAGTTACATAATAAAGGAGCTTTTAATCTCAAGAGAATACACTGTCACAATTTGATACTGCATACAGACTCACAACTGTGTTTATTTTCCCACCAAAAATCAATATTAAAATTTTATTAGTAGTACATTTGTCCATGAATGTAGTAAAAGTAAACTTGTTTGAATGTTGTACAAATGTAAAAACTTCAATACAATACTTGAGGTACTATACTAGTTCATTACTAGTCTCCTAGTCTCGTAAAAACTAAAATGTTTTACTGGAGGGGCACGGTTTGTAGAATTACCATATAAGTATGGTAAACACATTTAGGACAGATAACGTATACAGATATGTTTGCCATACTACACTAAATAACCTAACATAACAATAAAACAAAGCTGTCAAAATCTGCCACATGTTTATGTTATAGACTTAACGGACCACCACTTATAACTTTTAACCCCTTACTGCCATTAGAATATCATAGCACCTAGTATCAAACTTTTTTTGTGATTTCATCTTTAGAACTCAGTTTAGTGTAGGCGCTTACATTTGTTATGTAATGATTTTTCATGATTACAAAATATATGAGGTTTTCAATAACTACAAATAATAATAATCAGCTGGTGTCCAGAAAAATTCATCATGGTATAGTATATAGTTTGGCCCCTTAGAAAACGACCTGCATGCTAATGCTAAACCAATGCTGGAGGAGGTCGCTTTCTAAGCGGCCGAACTATAGTAGGCAATTGATGATAATGATAATGATAATTTATTTGCACATAACATACAAATTTGTGAAAATCACATGTACAGGTGCTTCGTCTTGATCTCTTTGAAATTGAATTGGCAATTGAATGGCTTTTGATTAAGCAAGCATCAAACAGCTGTTATCCGGAGTAAATCCATATATGGATGGTCCATAAATTCAGAGTAGCGTGAGTAAGCCTGTTAGTTAGGTAATAGTTTATATGCAAGTTTTTTTTTAACGATTTACATGTTTATTTCCACAATATTATTTTTTTCCTACAGTAAACCTAACAATGTACAGTTCTCTCACTGATTTGAGAAAGCAAAGTGGCCAATTCGCTCATCAGTGAGACAATGTTAACATTGTCTCACTCTAATTACTTTGTCTCACTCCAGATTTGCAACACGAAGGCACGAAATAGTGAGCGTGTAACATGCAGACAAGGTCGTATACGCGCAAAATACGTTGGCAGCACTGGCTGTAAATCAGCTGGTCAGCTGTTGAAGTCAAAGTCAAAGTCATCTTTATTGTCACAAAACGTTTTTTTTTTTATGCTCTGGCACAGCCAGACAAAACAGGTGACATTGTCAAACTATACTAAAATAAACTAGCTTATATTGGTAAAAATAAATACATAGTAGGTAACAAAACAAACAATTCACATTGATTTATCTTCAAGAAATTGACCAATACTATAATAATTCTTTTCCAATAAAAATTCAAAAATTTTTTCTTTAAAAGATACTAATCCTATTATAGATTTGTAGTACCCAGGCAAATTGTTAAAAAATCTTTTACCCATATAAGAAGGTGTCCTTTCCACAAGATTTAATCTGTGTATAGGATATTGAAAATCTGTATGAAATCTAGTGTTATAATTGTGCCGATTATTTTCACTGTGGAGTTTTTCAAAATTTGATTTCACATACAATAAACATTTAAGAATATACAAATTAGGGACGGTTAGAATCTTTAGTTCTTTAAAAAGTTGCTTGCAAGAATGTTTTACGGGTTTAAAAGTCATAATTCTAAGTATTCTTTTTTGAAGTTTAAAAAGTTGATACGAATCAGATGTGACGCCCCAAAGCTCTATTCCATACTGTAAAATTGACGAAAATAAAGCGTGATAAATCATTAGTCTAGTGTTTAAATCAACAACATTTCTTAAGACCAACATTTGAAAACATACTGAATTTAACTTTTTAGAGGTGTTATGAATGTGATTCTTCCAATTCAATAAACTATCTACATCAATTCCTAAAAATTTAGCTGTGTTGCTAAAATTTATTTTTTCATTATCAAAATTAACAAAGCCTTCAAGATCGTCCCTACACTGTGCAGTTTGAAATTTTACTATTTGTGTTTTAATGTGGTTCATTTTTAAACCGTTTACTTTAAACCATTTTGACAGATCTTGAAGAGCTTGATTCAAGGCTACTGTTGTATCATTAAATTTCATATTAAAAGTTCACTTCTGTGCAAAAATATGTTACATTTCTTTACCAATTTATTTGTTTTATGGTAACGGTAGGAAAAATATAATGTGCAACTTGAGTGCAAAGTGCAATTGCCTCACTCAAGAAACCATTCCTCACTCGCCAATGTATTTCTCTCGAGTGAGTCAATTGCTCAATTTGCTCACTAGTTGCACAAATAACTATATATTGCTATTAAATGTAAATGTTGTTTACAGTTTGATTCTGCAATTTGTACATTGGACGATCCTGTAAATAAAGATGACGAGGAAAACCAAGTAAGTAAATTTTAATTGAAGATTTATAGATAAGAGAAACTGGGAACCGTAAGACTTATTTTTATATCTTATAACATCGTAAAGAATTTACAATCATAATAGTGATGGGTTGTTTGCTGATTTTATTGGTTTGGTTATTTTGCGAACCGGTTGTCAGTTTTCGGTTTCCCCCCCTTATGAACCATATTATTGACAGCAATGGGGATTGTACTGTTTTGTTAAAAAGAGTAAATAACTTCTTGATTATCGTACGTGTTATTATATTACCTGAAAGTGCAAAAAATGTGTCAAATAACACTTGTTATAATATATTTACACTTATACCGTTTACAATAATTAGACGGTGAATACATATAAAGATAGTAAGTGGTGATCAATTTCGATTGGACACTCCAATCAACATCAGATCCAATAGTTTTTCCATCTAGGCTAACAACAGATGGAAATGTATGTGTGTGGAGCTATGTATAGAGGGAGGATGTGGAATTTGAGTAATAAAACAATTACAAAATATAGGCCTATATTAATTATAACATCTTTGATCTCAATTACACTCTTTATTTTAATATTTTCACTGTTCAATTTTATTTAGCTTAATTGTTTTAACATTACAGTTTTAAATGTATATAAATTTCTTGAAATAACACAATATTTCTTCTCATAGTTAACACAAACTGAATAAAATAAGTTTTTTTTAATTTGTGAAATATTGTGTTGTGATAAGGAATTTTGTACACTGTTTTTTTAAGTTACCTTCTGTAATAATTTTAATTTGTTTAGTTAGGATGTCAAACCTTTATAATAAATTTATTAACTGTAGATTCCTGGGCCATTTACACCTGTTGAAAATGAGGAGTATCGCAGAGAAGCTATCAACATAAAAACACCTTGTCAGAATCAGGCTGTTGAGAAGGAGGAAATCGTCACCGTGAAAATAGAAGAGAATGATTGTGATGAATACATGGAAGAAGTATATATAAAAGAAGAAAGGCTGGATGAGGTAACTCCACAGATATTTGATTCAGCTTCAAGAGTTATTAATAAAAACATATTTTATTTACCCCCAAAAATTTACCAGTTGATTATAAACTAAATTAAAACTAAATTACACATTTCCTGATGATGTAGATAGTTTACGGTAGTAAATAAAAACTACATTTCAAATTGAAATAGTATTGTAGGCAAACACTTACAATACATATTTTTGTAAACAAATAACTTGTAACATGAATAATATTTCAATCATAGTTTCAGTTTGAAATCAGCTGTTAGTTAAACCAGCACTGAAACAACTTTAAATTCTTAGCACCGACTGCTAGAGTTTTTAAAATTAAAGTTTAATTTACCAAAATCTAAAAACCTAAACTAAATTTATAACCTTGACATTCCCTTCCTTAAAATAACACACAAGTTGTAAGATAATATAAAATTCTAATAAATGCTGCAAGTAAAGAATGTGTTTATTATTCAACAAGAGTCATCATCACCACAACAACAAACTAAATTATAAAACATATGTTGAATGCAAAGGCATATGAATGACACTACATCTCCCCTTCCTCATTATATTTACTCATATCTTATTGGTGGTCTGATAGTTCTGCTCGATCTTCTTATTCCATCATTGTGGTTTGGCTGCACCCTCCTTCCATGGTAGACATCGTCAGAATCATCATTCTCTTTTCTTGGTAGGGGAATGAGATGCCATCTGTTTCGTCTTACATCATTCCAATTACTCAATGATACTATGTAGGATCGAGGTAGATTGGTTGTTGTTCTTATGGTTCCTTTCGCACTTATATCTTTAACCAGACCCTCTCTCCTACTGCTAAAGGTGGAAGTTCTTTGACGCCTCTTCTGTTGTCAAAGTTTTTCTTGACTCTGTCTCTTATTTTCTTGTCACAGTTTCGAAAGGATTCTATTTGATCTTTTCCAACCACTTGAAAGTCGTTGAGCGAAGGTAAAGTTGTTCTTAGTTTTCTACCATACAGCAGCTCTGCAGGTGATAACCCCGATTCCAATTTGGTGGTCCTGTAAGCTAATAGACCAAGATTGGGATCCGGACACTTTAGTAGAATCCTCTTGGCTATAGATACAGCGTTTTCAGCTTCTCCATTCGATTGAGGAAAGTGTGGACTACTAGTTACAGCTCTAAATCCGTACTCTTTTGCGAAACCTTTGAACTCGTCAGAAGTAAACTGAGTACCTCCATCTGTACGAATTTCTAGAGGGATCCCGTGTCGTGCAAAAATGTTTTTCATCCTTCCAATAACTGCCGCTGAAGTCAAAGTATTGAGTTCGATGAGCTCTAAAAATCGTAAGAAATAATCTTGTATTACCAAATACCAGTTTTGGTTACATTTCAAAATATCTGCACATAAATGGGTCCAAGGCTCTTGAGGAAGCTGTGTAGACATCAGAGGCTCCTTTCGCTGCAGTCTGTGTTCTATACATGTTGGACAATTTTCCACTGTAGTACTAATTTCTGTTGAACAGCCTGGCCACCAAACAGATTCTTGAGCACGCCGCCGACATTTCACTATACCCAAATGTCCCTCATGTAATCTAGATAAGATTTCTTTTCTCAAGGCCTTTGGAATGAACATCCTCCTTCCCTTAACAATTAATCCATCTTCCAAAGCGAGTTCATTGCGATACTTCCAGAATACTGAATTTTTCCGCCATGTATTCTCTTGGATGCATTTTAAGAGCTCCTGTCCTTCCGGGTCTTCATATTGGGCATTCTTAATTCCCAACAGCCGTTTATCAGAACAAGGCAATGCATCAATTATGCTTCTTACAAACATTTCTTCCTCCAGATTCTCGATAACCTCATTCTCCCGATCCATTGGTGAAATTTCAGGGCTTCTTGATAGTAAATCTGCAGTTACATTTTCTTTCCCCGGGATGTGAACAACTTCGTAGTCAAAATTTTGCAATCTCATACGAAAACGTTGCAGCCGAGAAGAAAGATCAGAGATCGGCTTTGAACCCATTATCTCAGTCAGAGGCTTATGATTTGTGTAAAGCTGGAACCTTTTACCAAGAATAAAGCTAGAAAATCTTTCGCAAGCCCAAGTTAAGCCGAGAGCTTCTTTTTCAATGGTAGCATATCTTGACTCTGTTTCTGTTAATGTCCTCGATGCAAATGCTAATGAACGCCAATCCTTTCCATCAAACTGCTCGATCACTGCCCCTAAACCATAAGATGACGAATCTGCCATTACACGGGTTTTCGCTTCTTTGTTGTAGTTGGCCAATACAGTATCATTAGCTACAACCTTCTTCAATTCCTTAAAAGCTTGTTCTTGAGGCTCATCCCAAGTCCATTCAACTCCTTTTTTAAGGAGACTTCTGATTGGTGCTGTTTTTTCAGCTAGATGAGGAACGAACTTCATTAATTGGTTTATCATTCCCAAAAACTGTCGAACCTCCGTTATACTCTGGGGGCTTTTCATGGCCAGAATAGCTTTAGTCTTCTCTGGGTCAATACTGACTCCCTGCGATGAGACAACGTGTCCGAAGAAAATCACACTTTCTACTCCAAACTTACATTTGTTTTTGTTTAACGTGATACCATTTTCTGAGAGTCTCCGACTGAGAGTTTGACTCTGCTGTCATGTTCTGCTTCTGTCTTCCCCATTATCAAGATATGATCCGCTTGATTCACTACGCCTGGGATATCTGAAAGCATTTGACTCGGTCGGAATTGGAAAACCTCCGGTCCAGAACAGATTCCAAACGGAAGTCTCTTGAAGAAATATCGCCCGAATGGTGTAATGAACGTGGTGAGTTTAAATGAATCACTGTGAAGTGGAACCTGCCAGAATCCATTGGCAGCATCCAACTTAGTGAAAAGCTTACCTCCTTCCAACTTAGCTAGAGACTCATCCACTGATGGAAGCTGCAACAATTCTCTTTTCACATGTTGGTTCAATTTTGTGTAATCAACACAGAGTCTAATTCTACCATCACTCCTTGGAACCACTACTACGGGAGAACACCAGTCAGTAGGTTCAGTTACTGGTTCTATTACACCATCAGCAAGCATCCTGTCCAATTCGTATTTAACCTGTTTGTGGAGTGAGAAAGCCACCCTCCTCGGTGACATAACAGCATAAGGTTTTGCATCTTCGTGCAGCCAAATCTTGTATGGATGATTCATTCTACCCATGCCCTCAAACACTTTTGGATATTGACTCTGGAGTGATTCACCATCTACAAGATTAACGTTAAACGTAAGTAACTCCAGTTTCAACAATGCATTTCTACTCATTAGAGGTGTACTTTGGGACGGCAAGACATATATGTCTTCTAATATTTGCTTATTGCCATACATAATTTCAGCTGAACAGACACCCACAACAGTCAAAACGCTTAATCTATACAGGCCACATAGCTGGGTTGGTAAAATCAAATATTTCAGGAGCACTTAGTGGTGCCTGTAGACCTATCACTATTGGTGCTGGCTTTGATTGGGTACTAATCATTTTCATAGATTTATCAGAGCCTATTTGAAACTTACTTCTATGTCGTGGACCAACTGCCTCATCTCCAGAATCTTCAGTTGTAAACTCGTCCACTTCCTTTTTTGACTTTCTAGAAGATTTCTTGTTAGGTCTTGGCATGTTTTAAAAGTTTATTTCACAACCTGACACCATGTAAGATAATATAAAATTCTAATAAATGCTGCAAGTAAAGAATAGACCTTTTCATATATTTAGTTTTGAAATGAAACCTTTCTAATAGAAACATATTGATTGTAGATTCCTGGGCCATCTACACCAGTTGAAAATGAGGAGTATCGCAGAGAAGTTATCAACATAAAAACACCTTGTCAGAACCAGGCTGTTGAGAAGGAAATTATCACTGTGAAAATAGAAGACAATGATTGTGATGAATACACAGAAGAAGTATATTTAAAAGAAGAAAGGCTGGAAGAGGTAACTCCACCGATATTTGATTCAGCTTCAAGAGTTATTAATAGAAATATATTTTATTTACCCCCAAAAATTTACCAGTTGATTATAAACTAAATTAAAACTAAATTACACCTTTCCTGATGACTGGGACGGGTGGCGTCGTCCTGTAATCCAGCTACTAGGAGGTCACGAATTGTGGATATTTATAGGGATTCTCTCTGGATGCGATGCTCCCTGGTGTGGTCCCTTAGTTGCCATTAGCTGTATGGGCTAATAATTAACAGCTGTGTCTAAGGAACATGTCGGCCTTAGTCACTAACAAGACTACAAGATCGCACCACTCATCCTACACTCATCCTTCACTCATATTTGGGTTAAAATACGCACATAGTGGCGTCCCCATCTTAAATACTTGATAATTGGTAATTGATGTAGATAGTTTACGGTAGTAAATAAAAACTACATTTCAAATTGAAATAGTATTGTAGGCAAACACTTACAATAATACAAACAAATAACTTGTAACATAAATAATATTTCAATCATAGTTTCAGTTTGAAATCAGCTGTTGGTTAAACCAGCACTGAAACAACTTTAAATTCTTAGCACCGACTGCTAGAATTTTTAAAATTAAAGTTTAATTTACCAAAATCTAAAAACGTAAACTAAATTTATAACCTTGACATTCCCTTCCTTAAAATAATATTTCTTTAAACACAAGTCATTCAAAATTCCTTCAACTGGTTGATTCAGAAAAATAAAAAACCCTGTCACGTTTTAATATAAAAATTTAGCTTTAGTTGAAATTTTTAACTAAAAAGAAATATCACTTTGTTTGAGGGATTTTCGTATATTTAAAACTGGTTTTGGAAAAATGTCCTTTTATAGACCTTTTCATATATTTAGTTTTGAAATGAAACCTTTCTAATAGAAACATATTAATTTTAGATTCCTGGGCCATCTGCACCTGTTGAAAATGAGGAGTATCGCAGAGAAGCTATCAACATAAAAACACCTTGTCAGAACCAGGTTGAGAAGGAAATTATCACTGTGAAAATAGAAGACAATGATTGTGATGAATACACAGAAGAAGTATATTTAAAAGAAGAAAGGCTGGAAGAGGTAACTCCACAGATATTTGATTCAGCTTCAAGAGTTATTAATAGAAATATATTTTATTTACCCCCAAAAATTTACCAGTTGATTATAAACTAAATTAAAACTAAATTACACCTTTCCTGATGACTGGGATGGGTGGCGTCGTCCTGTAATCCAGCTACTAGGAGGTCACGAATTGTGGATATTTATAGGGATTCTCTCTGGATGCGATGCTCCCTGGTGTGGTCCCTTAGTTGCCATTAGCTGTATGGGCTAATAATTAACAGCTGTGTCTAAGGAACATGTCGGCCTTAGTCACTAACAAGACTACAAGATTGCGCCACTCATCCTACACTCATCCTTCACTCATATTTAGGTTAAAATACGCACATAGTGGCGTCCCCATCTTAAATAATTGATAATTGATAATTGATGATTGATGTAGATAGTTTACGGTAGTAAATAAAAACTACATTTCAAATTGAAATAGTATTGTAGGCAAACACTTACAATAATACAAACAAATAACTTGTAACATAAATAATATTTCAATCATAGTTTCAGTTTGAAATCAGCTGTTGGTTAAACCAGCACTGAAACAACTTTAAATTCTTAGCACCGACTGCTAGAATTTTTAAAATTAAAGTTTAATTTACCAAAATCTAAAAACGTAAACTAAATTTATAACCTTGACATTCCCTTCCTTAAAATAATATTTCTTTAAACACAAAAGTCATTCAAAATTCCTTCAACTGGTTGATTCAGAAAAATAAAGAACCCTGTCACGTTTTAATATAAAAGTTTAGCTTTAGTTGAAATTTTTAACTAAAAAGAAATATCACTTTGTTTGAGGGATTTTCGTATATTTAAAACTGGTTTTGGAAAAATGTCCTTTTATAGACCTTTTCATATATTTAGTTTTGAAATGAAACCTTTCTAATAGAAACATATTAATTTTAGATTCCTGGGCCATCTGCACCTGTTGAAAATGAGGAGTATCGCAGAGAAGCTATCAACATAAAAACACCTTGTCAGAACCAGGCTGTTGAGAAGGAAATTATCACTGTGAAAATAGAAGACAATGATTGTGATGAATACACAGAAGAAGTATATTTAAAAGAAGAAAGGCTGGAAGAGGTAACTCCACAGATATTTGATTCAGCTTCAAGAGTTTTTAATAGAAATATATTTTATTTACCCCCAAAAATTTATCAGTTGATTATAAACTAAATTAAAACTAAATTACACCTTTCCTGATGACTGGGACGGGTGGCGTCGTCCTGTAATCCAGCTACTAGGAGGTCACCAATTGTGGATATTTATAGGGATTCTCTCTGGATGCGATGCTCCCTGGTGTGGTCCCTTAGTTGCCATTAGCTGTATGGGCTAATAATTAACAGCTGTGTCTAAGGAACATGTCGGCCTTAGTCACTAACAAGACTACAAGATCGCGCCACTCATCCTACACTCATCCTTCACTCATATTTAGGTTAAAATACGCACATAGTGGCGTCCCCATCTTAAATAATTGATAATTGATAATTGATAATTGATAATTGATGTAGATAGTTTACGGTAGTAAATAAAAACTACATTTCAAATTGAAATAGTATTGTAGGCAAACACTTACAATAATACAAACAAATAACTTGTAACATAAATAATATTTCAATCATAGTTTCAGTTTGAAATCAGCTGTTAGTTAAACCAGCACTGAAACAACTTTAAATTCTTAGCACCGACTGCTAGAATTTTTAAAATTAAAGTTTAATTTACCAAAATCTAAAAACGTAAACTAAATTTATAACCTTGACATTCCCTTCCTTAAAATAATATTTCTTTAAACACAAAAGTCATTCAAAATTCCTTCAATTGGTTGATTCAGAAAAATAAAAAACCCTGTCACGTTTTAATATAAAAGTTTAGCTTTAGTTTAAATTTTTAACTAAAAAGAAATATCAATTTGTTTGAGGGATTTTCGTATATTTAAAACTGGTTTTGGAAAAATGTCCTTTTATGGACCTTTTCATATATTTAGTTTTGAAATGAAACCTTTCTAATAGAAACATATTAATTTTAGATTCCTGGGCCATCTACACCAGTTGAAAATGAGGAGTTTCACAGAGAAGTTATCAACAAAAAAACACATTGTCAAAACCAGGCTGTTGAGAAGGAAATTATCACTGTGAAAATAGAAGATATTGATAGTGATGAATACACGGAAGAAGAATATTTGAAAGAAGAAAGGCTGGAAGAGGTAATTCCACAGATATTTTATTCAGCTTCAAGAATTATCGATAGAAATGTATTTTATTTTCATGTTAGCCTACTAAAGTAGCCTATAGTAAAGTAGTATGGTCTTGGTTTTCCGACCTCAGTCGGCTGTGAGAGATAAGTGGAAAAGTCAGATTCTAGTACGTCCCTATTCTAACGGTAAAGTGCTTTAGCTTCTTATTTGGCATAAACAAAACTTGTACTTCAATTTCAGATGGTATCCGCTCCGATGATAATTCCTGTAGCCCTCGCAATTTCAGATGGTATCCGCTCCAATGATAATTCCTGTAGCCCTTGACCATGACCATCTGCCAAAAAAACCAATTTTCGTTGCACAGGCCTCGCAAGGTTTTCTCCCCCCTCCCCCAAAAGAATATCACTATCTTAAGTTTCCAGTTTCAAATTCTTACGCAGAGTGAGTTCCTCTGCACTGACCTCAACAGTCTTGATCCAACAACGATTCCTTTCTATCCTTGTTAGGTTTTGAGCAAGATAAACGTCGTGCATTATACATTCGTTTGGCTCTACCGCAACATCTGACCTTCCAGTGTGTCAGGGTCTGAACTCTGAACTAGGGATGGACGAGATTGGATTTTTAGTTCGAGACGAGACGAGACGAGATTTTTTATTTCTCCTCATAAAATTTCGAGACGAGATCGAGACGGGATTTCCCTTCTCATACACAACGGGAAATGCACGTTCAAAACTTTTACCTGATTTTGTAACATTGTTAGATGACTGTTTAAATACAAAAATAATGATAATAGGCAAGAATATTTACAATCTTTTATTAAAAAACATCAGCATAACATTTTTTTTATTAATCACGCCTAACTTATTAAAAATGCCTACGATTAGGAAACATAGTGATATCATTTAGGATAGAGTTCAACTTATCCTAAAATAAAATAAATCATAAAATAAAAGCAATATTAATTTTTATAAAATAGTTAGGTACTTGTTTAGACTTTTTATAGTAATAAAACATTCCTCACACTGCTTACACTTAACAAAACTTCTCATATGTTATTAAAGTAATATTATTAAAATAATTAAAGCAATATTTACATTTAAAGAATTAATTAATAAGAACGCCTTCGCAAAGGAAACGCAACTACAACACGCTCCTGTATTGCGGGTATTGCATTGACTTTCTGCAGGCGTTTTTAATTTTTTTTTTATTCTCGTCTCGATAAAAATCTCGACCAAAAATAAATCTCGTCTCGTGTAACGAGATTTAAAATTTCCCGAAAATTTCCCGAAATTTCGAGACTTGACCATCCCTACTCTGAACTTAAGCGATCATTTTTGACTTGAATTAGTTTCTCACAACGCCAAGGAATTTTTACAGTACAGTATACTCCCTCTTATCCGGACACTTTTTAACCGGACATCGGTTTAACTGGACTACTTTCAGTGGAAATGATATCATCCTTTAACCGGACAATTTTTATCAGAACATTGGTTTAACTGGACTGGATCGGCAGGAAGTAGGCGGTACTGAAATGACTGTTCTTGTGGGAAAGATTTGAGACCAGTGATCACATGTCTAAATACAATGCTCTCCTAAATTTAAGTGGAATATCACAGTAAACAGTCCGTTTCATCAAGTTTTTGGAGACGTTGGTTTAACCGGAAAACCCGTTATCCGGACTGGCCTTGGCCCCGAGGAGTCCGGATAAGAGGGAGTCTATTGTACTGCAACAATATTCTTTTGATATAGGTAAATTAGATTTTGTACTAATCATGGGTTAGGACTTAGTTCAGTCTTCTTTTTAATAATGCGGTTTAGCCAAATTTATTTTACAAACATGCAGAGTATCCCTTGTTCCAAGCTTATTTCTCCCCTGCCTTGGCCGAGCATGATACAGCCTAAGACTGCGAGATATCCATTTGGCAAATTCGTAAGTATAAAATGTCCTGGAATTTCAACTCCCGGCTTCAAGCTAAGGTTTACTTGCTGCCGTCCGTAGGTTTTGAGGCCTCATTCTTAATTTTAATTAATGATTTGCCTAATAGTACAAGTCGTAATTCTGTAATCTTTGCTGATGACACCACTCTGTACAGTAATAGGCCAAACAGCAAGTTAGAGGAACTTGGTTTATTTATGTCTAACGCCTTAGTTGAAAGCAAGCGGTTTGTTACTTAACAATTATAAAACTCGAAGGTTACTTTTCTCTTTGTCTAAAGTTACCCCTAGCTTTGAACACTGCAACACAGGTCGTGATAAACTTTTAGACATTGTTATTGACTCCACATTAAACTGGAGACCACACATCCAATCCGTCTGTATTAGGCTAAATAGGAAAATTTGCTTGTTGAGGCATTTACGAAATTTGTTACCTAAAAGTTTTCTCAAGGGTGCCTACTTTGGTTTTCACAGTATTTTGAGGAGGAAATTATCACTGTGAAGAAAGAAGAAAATGATAGTGATGAATACACAGGAGAAGCTTATTTGGAAGAGGAAAAGCTGGAAGAGGTAACTCCACAAATGATTATTATCCAGTTTCAAGACTTAGAAATATATTTTATTTTGATGTTACTAAAGTAGTGTATAGTAAAGTAGTAAGGTCTTGGTTCCCGATCCAAGCTGGCTGTGGAAGATAAGTGGAAAGGTATATGTAGAAAAAAAAGAAATATAAAATAAGTTATAGTGAGAGTTCAACTAGAAATTAGACCTATCTTCTTTTTGTTAGGTCTACTTCCATGATGCCGGGATGCATCTCCAACCCACTCTGAAATTTCCCACAAATAAGCCTAATTGACTTTAAGTTAGGTTAGTTTGTCTAGGCCTCTTCAATGTCTAATTGCCAATTAATTATTAACTGTAAATGATTATGTCGCACTTAATGGCTGTAATAAAGAGACATCAATTTCACTTATGCCTTGGAATCGACAATAAATTGTTAGACAATCACCTATCCCAATAAGTTTTTTAAGCTTTGCCGAGGCACAGCCTAACCTTAATACGAGGTTAAGTCAGCTAAAGTTAGTCAACTTAATAATCCTGATTCCAGCGACAACTTAAGGCCTTAATCCTTAAGGCCTACTTAAGACAATGACTCAAGAAACAATCTTTCAACTATAGAATAACTTTAGCCTTGGTAAGAGTTTTTCTCTTGAATTTTTTGAAAACTAAATTCAAATAATAGTCACTAATCAATCAAACCTATCAAGGATTTAATAAATAGAACAAACATTGAAGACGGAATTCAGTTAATCAAAAATAGTCCTTTATTGATTTTTAAAAATTGATTTATAAATCACCCAATGTTAACCTCTCACTTTTCATAGCAGACGCTAGAAGTCTTTTTGTTGAATGTTGAAGTGAGGTTGAATATTCTAAGCTTTGAACTGAAGATAACGTAACGCAGTGGGAGCAAATTGGATAGAAACAATAGGAGCGAACTGAAACAGACTGAGCGAGTCATGGGAGTGAATTAAAGCGAAAGTAAAATTTAATTAATTGATTGCACAATAATTATAAATTTAGAACTCTTGAACTTAGAACACCTGGCACCAAATGTGACAGGTTGCCGAATGAAACTACAAACTTTAAACAAATAATTTATAATAAATTTAACTTTCAACTTAACAAATATCATAATCCAATTACAAATTTATAACACTACAGCTTTAGCTTAGAACGAAAACAACAATCTTAGAATGAGTGGCAATACTTCAAAAGTTATTTTATATATTATTTTGATTGATAGACTTCATATTAGAAAAGGGATAAAGGCGACAAACTTTATTTGCGCTTAATTTGCTTCCGAGAACATTGGCCCCGGCCTAGTGCTGACTCTTGGTCGCTGAAATGTTCCATTGTGAGGCTACTGCGCTGATGCAGAACTTGGAAGGTTAAAGGAGTTCATTATTATATTTACAGACTATCATTATTGTTTTATATTTGGAATAAAACAAAGCGTTTGTGATGGTATTGACGGGGTTTCATGAAGGTGCAGCAAAGACCTCTACAGATAATATGTTATTGGTCTGGGAATTTTTGGGGCGGTCACAGTTTTAAGGAATATATTTTTAAAACTGGTTTTTGAAAATTTACCTTCCTTAATCCTTTTCATATATTTAGTTTTGATATGAAACCTTTCTAATAGAAACATAATAATTGTAGATTCCTGGGCCATCTGCACCAGTTGAAAATGAGGAGAATTGTAGAGAAGATATCAACATAAAAACACCTTGTCAGAACCAGACTGTTGAGAAGGAAATTATCACTGTGAAAATAGAAGATGATGATAGTGATGAATACACAGACGAAGTTTATTTGGAAGAGGAAAAGCTGGAAGAGGTAACCCAACAAATATATTTTATTCAGCTTCAAGATCCCCTAATTCCCTTAATGATATCAACTAATCCCTCTAATCATAACATAATGAAGTGCTATTTATTTGGAATTATATAATCATTATTTTTAATATTCATACTTGCATTATTTATAAAATAAACTACTCTTATCTCCTTTTTCGTATTGATAGAAAAGTCACAAATAAACACAAAACACGGTTAAGTCAAATAGGCCTACTTTCAGCGGAATATATTTTAGTACTAGGCAAGAGTCAATAAAAATTCCTATTTTAATAACTTTAGTACTGTACTGTATTAATTGATGCTTTCCAAATCAATTGTAATACAGTACAAAACCTTTTGTCGAAATTAAAGATATAAGCAACCATTTTGTTACAAGACAGGGTGTTTATTTATAACCTTTCACTAGAGGCTCGAGGCACAAAAACTATCTTGACCTTGGAGTTGTTAACCCTCCTTCCCTGCCCTCCCTACAAGTTGCGTTGTTTGTTTACTCCAGCAATAAGATAATCAGTTCTCAAAATCGTAACGCACTTTACAATGTTACAAATTTGCCGCACTGATTACAAATCAGATCAGATGTGCTCGAGCTACGAATGATGATGACAAACTGACAATACCTATGCTAAATTTCTTGTGATCAATACAAAATAACTTATTCTTAGGCATATCCTGTGGACATAAGCGTATGGTTCAGTTCTCATCGCCCAGCGTGGGAGCGGAAATGCCGAGATTCCTAAAAAGCGACAGTTAAACCGAACTGCTCTCAAAGCAAGGTCGGTTAAAACAAACTGCATTATTTTACGAACGAAGGCGGATAATCTGATTATCGATTAATACGAGGTCGGTTAAGAGGGGGTCTACTGTAGTCGTCATATGTGGTTGGATAAGGTAATTCTTCTATTTTATCTAATAATTTTAGATTCCTGGGCCATCTACACCTGTTGAAAATGAGGAGTTTCGCAGAGAAGATCTCAACAAAAAAACACCTTTTCAGAACCAGGCTATTGAAAAGGAAATTATCACTGTGAAAATAGAAGATGATGATAGTGATGATAGTGATGAATACACAGATGAAGTTTATTTAGAAGAGGAAAAGCTGGAAGAGGTAACTCCACAGATAAATTTTATTCAGTTTCAAGAATTTTTTTAAATAAACATATTTTATTTGTATGCCACTTAAGTAGCCTATAATAAAGTACTAAAGTAGTAAGGTCTTGGTTTTCCAACCCAATCCGGCTGTGGGAAGTAAGTGGAAACAATCGACTATAGACAATATCCTTTGTTACAATTTCATCAAGAATTTTTACAGCGTCAAATTTAAGTCACATTGGTATAATAAATACATAGTGAAATGAAAAAGCTTCTTCAGTGTTATGTGTAGTCTCAAAGAACTCCTTTAGGGTGTAGAAAGCCTTGTCTGGCAGCCATCTCCGTAGCTTCCTCTTCATCAGGACAGGGCCTCCAGCTTTCAAGTGGTCTAGTAGCTTGTTTAGCCTCTTCACTCCTGCATACAGTGGTTTCTTTTCATACGTTGCTGTTCTGTAACCTGGTAGCACATAATTTCCTGCATATCTGGTGTTGTATTCATGCATATCACTTTGTTTAGGGGGATCTTTGGTCACACAGTAGTAAACAGTATCTAGGATGTAGATAAAAGTCATTATCAGGATGTTAATGTTTTTGAAAGCATCTCTACAGCTTTGGACTTAAGCCTGCTATTATTCTGATAACCCTCTTCTGCAAACCAGAACACGGTTAAGATTGCCCATAGTGGATCCACCCCAGACAGTAATACCATAGCATACATGGCTTTCAAAAATTGTATTTTAATTTTTCTTAATTAATGGTGAATAGTTAAGTTACACAAAATGGTTTTAATCCTTCTTAATCCTTTTCATATATTTAGTTTGGACATGAAACCTTTCTAATAGAAACATATTAATTCTAGATTACTGGGCCATGTACACCTGTTGAAAATGAGGAGTATCGCAGAGAAGATATCAACAAAAAAAAACCTTGTCAGAACCAGGCTGTTGAAAAGGAAATTATCACTGTGAAAATAGAAGACGATGATACTGATGATAGTGATGAATACACAGACGAAGTTTATTTGGAAGAGGAAAAGCTGGAAGAGGTAACTCGAAAGATATATTTTATACAGCTTCAAGACTTGTAAATAGAAATATATTTTATTTGTATGCCACTTAAGTAGCCTATAGTAAAGTACTAAAGTAGTAAGTAGTAGTAGAATTTTAGTAAAGGAGTAGTTTTTTGGAGGTAGTAGTAGTAAAGTCTTGGTAAAGGTTGGTAAGTTGGTAAGGTAGTAGTAAGGTCTTGGTTTTCCAACCTAAGCCGGCTGTGGGAAATAAGTGGAAACAATCGACTATAGACAATATCCGTTGTTACAATTTCATCAAGAAATTTTACAGCGTCAAATTTAAGTCACATTGGTATAATAGATACATAGTGAAATGAAAAAGCTTCTTCAATGCTATGTGTAGTCTCACCATGAAAGAACTTCTTTAGGGTGTAGAAAGCCTTGTCTGGCAGGCATCTCCGTAGCTTCCTCTTCATCAGCACAGGGCCTCCAGCTTTCAAGTGGTCTGGTAGCTTGTTTAGCATCTTCACTCCTGCATACAGTGGTTTCTTTTCATACGTTGCTGTTCTGAAACCTGGTAGCACATAATTTCCTGCATATCTGGTGTTGTATTCATGCATATCACTTTGTTTAGGGGGATCTTTGGTCACGCAGTAAAAAACAGTATCTAGGATGTAGATGGAAGTCGCCGTCAAGATTTGTCTCAGGTTTTCGAAAGCATCTCTACAGCTTTGTTCTGGACTTAAGCCTGCTATTATTCTGATAACCCTCTTCTGCATAACCAGGACACGGATGAGATTGCCCATAGTGAATCCACCCCAGACCATGGCTTTCAACAATTTTAATTTTTCTTAATTAATGGCGAATACTTACCCAAATTGGTTTCAATCCTTCTTAATCCTTTTCATATATTTAGTTTTGATATGAAACCTTTAAAATAGGAACATATTAATTGTAGATTCCTGAGCCATCTGCAGCAGTTGAAAATGATGAGTATTGCAGAGAAGTTATCAACAAAAAAACACATTGTCAGAACCAGGCTGTTGAAAAGGAAATTATCACTGTGAAAATAGAAGACAATGATAGTGATGAATACATGGAAGAAGATTATTTAGAAGAGGAAAATCTGGAAGAGGTAACTCCACAGATGGATTTTATACAGCTTCAAAACTTGTTAATAGATAGAAATATATTTTATTTTGATTTTACTAAAACCAAAGCAGCCTATAGTACTACAGTAGTATGATCTTGGGTTTCCTTCCTAATCCTGCTATGGGAGATGAGTGGAAAGGTCGGATAGCAGAGAAATAAATTAAAACCATTACAAACAAACAAAAAAATTTCAATTTGCCTTAATACAAACTATCACATTTCCAGACAGCACTAATGAAGAGTCAGGTAGGAGAGTCAAGAAGCAGAAGAGAGATGAATCAAGTAGGACTGTACCCTGCAGAGAAGCTATACTCTCGTAATCATGGTATAATCTACTACAATGGCGAAGGGTATTACTACAAGACAAACAGGACAAATGAAAATAAATGGTAAGAAACTACACCAATAAATTTTATATCAAATTATTGTTATTATATTTGATGTCTGGATGGTTATTGCTTATAATTTGAGATATTCTCAAGATTTAATACATTAGAGTAGTGCTGAGCCTAGGCGTAAAATAGCTAATAATAATAAAGCTGTGTCCTAAAATATAGTTCCAGCTAACCAGACAACTTTGAAAACCTTAAATGTTAAATAATGACCGTCAAAAAGTCAGTGAAGTACCGAACATGATATTTTACTCAACGGAAAAATTTGAGTTATAGCCTATAGTTAAGTGTTCATTCTTGATGTCGTTCAAGTTTGTGGGTTTTTTTTTTAGGTTTACATCACTAAAAATATAAACTCGATCATTTAAATCAAAAATTACCTTTTTCTAACCTCAAACCGGTTTGTTAGGCGTCCGTACAATACAAAAATATCATTGAAAAGAAATCTGAAATTGACTGACAGAACTGCAACAGATGAGTGTAGATAGGGAAATAGAAAATCCATTAAAGAATATCTATGTTTAGGCCTATTACTGTCCGTTTCTTCTGTACTTTACTTCTCTATGTTCATATGTAGTTTTTATCTTTTATTTAGATATTTATATTCTTTTTTATGTGTTTCTCTGTCCAATTTTGTTTCTCAAAAATATAAACACTAAAATATAGTTATGTTAACATAGCATACTTGATATGTCACAGGTATTTGGGATGCACTGAGCCGAAATGTATGGCACGAGGGTTTATACAGTTGGATAAAGAAGATGCTCCGATCATTCCCTCAGGGCATATACACAACCACGAGCCCAACTACAGTAAACGTGATCTACTGGTGTTCATTCACAGGTGTAAAGAGCGAGCGGCCAGGGAACTGCACTTGAATGTTAGACATATATTGGAATCAGAGCTAGAAAGGTAATTTACTCTTTTAGTCCAAGCATTAGAATAGTTTTTTACTTTATTTAAAAATTTTAAAGAAGTAATTTTTTTGAAGTGATCTAAGTTGATCCCAGGTATGTATACCGAGATAATTTATAGTAGTTCTTTTGTAAAGAAAGTGGATTGTTTTTTATTTTTAAATGACTTTGTCTGTGCATCGATAATTTGCATGGTGATTTTCTAACTGCGCGATCATCGTGGGAGAGTCGAGAATCTGCATCGGAGTAACGGTGATTTCCTAATCGCGCCTTCTTTGCAGACGAGATGGAAATCGGTATCCGAATCGCCGCAAATTTGAATTTGAATTTCGCTGATCAAATCTCAAATTTTAATCTTTTCCGAAAATTCGGTGGATTCGAGATTTTACCTTGACCCATCCCTATCGACGTGAATAACGTATATTAGTTACATATGGATATGGATAATTAGGTATATGGATACAGAAAGTAATTTATATGGATACGTAAAGTATGAGATATGGATACAGACTCTATTGTTGAAACGAAATCAGATCCATCAAAACCAAATCCAGCCAAAGATCTGATTTTTTGTGGATCCGATCGGGTGTTGGTTCTAGCTCAGATCTGATGGATCCGGTAATCCAATATCCGGATCCGACCGTCACTAGATGGATACCAGTGAGCTGTGATGATGTCATACAGTTGATATCTAACATGAAAAGTGGAAATTCCAAAGACATTTAAGGTATCACACGTGATTTTGTAAAGGAATTGGCCCACTGTATCGTGGCCCCACTTACACAGTGCATAAATGATTGTTTCACTTGTGGTGTCTACGCTTTGTGCCTGAAATTCTCAAAAACAGTACCAATATACAACAAAGGTGACAATAGTTCTCCAGGAAGCTACAGGCCGATTTCTGTGGTGCCTTGTTTTTCCAAAATTGTTGAATTAGCAATGGAACACCAGGTGAACAAATTTTTTAGACAAATCTTCTTTTCTCAGAATTTCAGTTTGGTTTTTGGAGAGGACTGTCAACTGCGGATGCGGTCGAAGGCCTTGTACAAGAGGTTCGGATGGTTACGAAAACCGCTCACACACTTTAACAACCTTATGTGACCTTACCAAGGCTTTCGACTGCGTTCCGCATGAGATACTGCTCACAAAATTAAGAGCTTAGACGTTCTAACTCATAAAACAATTAAAAAACTACAAAGCAAATTTATAATCACACAGTATACTAGATATTTAAATGACAATCACTTTTGTGTTTGAAAAAATATTTTTAAGTTGGTAAATAACTTTCAGCGGCTGTTTGAAAATAACAAAATTAACATTGCTCTTATGGTGGGCAAATCCAAGATGGCCGCCTCCAAGGACTCTTAAAGTATTATGGTATTACTGGTGTGGAGCCTTTCAATCTTATCTTGAAAATTGCTCGCAGAGAGTCCAGATGGCTGGGTTAGTCTTCTTTACGATATTTTGATATAGACATGATCAGGTCAAACCTAAACAAAATGTAATTTTATGCTTTTTAAACTAGAAATATTGATGTTTAAAACAAAATTAATGTTTTAAATAATGTAGTGTATTGGTTTATCATAAGTCTAATAATAGGCTACTGTGTTTAAAGTTTTTCCAAACAATTGAAGAAGTGTTGAACATGGTTCTTGTGTTTTTTTTCTTTCTTTACCAATTACTATGTTATTTGGAAAAAAGGTTGCATAAAAATTACATACAGTATTATTATTATTTTTCATTCGCTATGTGTTGTAAAGATATATTTTATAAATGTTTGACTTAAAAGTTGCCATAATCCTAACCTCAAAATATATGCGACCTCCGTGTAATTCGAGATTCTTGGTAACTGAGGTAGTCTCGGTTCCAAAGACATCGGTTGATCGGAAATGGGCTGTATTTTTATAGTTTTATTTTATTGCTTTACATATACTGTATTTAATCCACCTATGTTCCCTATGTCACCTATACTAACAAGTTATGAACCAGAATGTTAATTCCGTTCAATAATTTTTTGTTCGAGATTTTGAAATCATTACCTATCTACTCATGATGTAACAGATTTACAGACTCCATAGTATTTTCATTAATCTTTTGGTCGTATTTGTTTCAGAGACGGAAACATTTCTGCGTTAATCACTAAAACCTATAAGAAGAGGCTTGAAGCTCAAATGAAAAGATATAGAATTTTATATGTAAGATCCAAAGTTTTGTATTTTTTAATTATTGTTGGGATAGAAAATAGTCTATCCCAATAGACATAAATAGTTATTTGTCTATTGTAGGCGGTACAGTAATACCTGGGCTCAGGACTAATTTAATTTATTTTTATTTTTATGTCCCCAGGGGCTAAAAACATAATTCGTTCAAATTTTAATGTATGTATGTGTCCGTGGACATGATAAATTGAGTAATTTTGGTCCGATTTTTGGCATGAAGGTGTTTTAGAGAAACCTATAGATACTGTCAAATCTAGTTGTTGTTTAGTAAAATTAGTTTCAAAAACGGTACTTAGTTTTCAATAATGTATTTACATATCTAAATACTAACCCTAATTAATTACTATAATTTTCATAAAATATACAGATATACAGTGCTCGATTTGTAAAAAATGTGGTGCCAGAACTGTAACCTATTAATGCGATTAATATTAATCGTTCTGTTCCACCGCGTTCCCCCCACAAATCGAGCACTGCATATATTTATATATATATGTCCGTTAACACGATAACTCAAGCAAAAATTATCCGATTTTGCCGATTTTTTTTTTTTTATTGATTTTGATTTTTTTGTTGAATGTGTAAACGTAAACCTACATTTATTTGAACAAGTTTGCGAACCAGCATGATCGAGCTATGGGGGGTTTTATGGGGTAAAAATTTGTTTTTCCCATTTTTGGCCCTAAAAACATAAAATTTTCCAATTTATTTTAAAACCATTTTGTAGAGCTTAATAAAACAAATAATTTAGTATATTGAAGTGATATTATGTGCCTAATCACACGGACACCGTCATACCGATGATGACGGAGAGTGAGGACAATTGGACCTGTGTGTCACATTACATCCAGGGTATTCTCCGTCCGCGCCAAGAAGCTCGACCTTGACCGGGATGCGGTGTAGGTCATGAAGTATCTATAAATGCTAAAAACGGTGAGAGCCCTGAGGGCTTAGGTCACATGTTGGCCTGACTTGAAGTAATGTGACAAACAATTCCAGGTCTGTGTCCAACAGAGTAGAGGGGGTTTTTTAGTGAGGGTTTCAATCCAATCAGACAAATGGCAATTTGCTTAGTCTGCAGGTTTGCTGCGGTGGGGGTATTTATGTTGTATGGAGAAGAAGAAAACTGTTGTGGTTTGTTTGTTTAAAATGGATATGTCGATAAATTCTGGCAAATTTATCTTTTTCATCCTATACTATTACTTTCCCCGTAGCAGCAAACCTAATTACTCGTTAAATCTAATATTGTTTAAATGGTGAATAAATATGTCTTATTATTGAAATATTTTAGAAAAATCCAATCGGACAAATTGAAATTCACTTAGTATGCAGGCTTGCTTCGGCGGGAGTATTATATAGGTACATCAATGTAGGCCTACTCTGAATTGTATCACAATATTTATGTTATTTGCTTTGTTACAAATCAAAAATCAGTCTAAGAGACCAAATCACAGATAATTAAAATTATTACCAAAGGTTAAAATACTTCATAATCCGTGAGTGTGAACAAAAAGTCACCGATGAAAGGCGACCGGTTTCAACCCATCAAAGGAGTCATCATCAGGCGTTGAATGGACACATAATTACTCCGAAGAGGTTGTCATAAAATCAATAAATACGAAACGAAGAACTGTTAAAACACTTAAACACATTTTTACAAAAACACGTGTGGCCACAAAATGACTGCGCGGCGGACGGTATGTGCACATTGAGTTACAAGTCCAGACTGTCGTCACTGCCGTCTTGTCCATCTGTCATCCCCCTCCCCTTCTTCCAGCTCTTATCAGGTCCTTTCCGTGTTGTTATCATTTTTTCAATGCTGACTGCTGTTTCATATGATAAATTGCTTTCAAAAGAGGCTTTTTCGTTCAAAACGTGTTGGGGATTTTTCTTGCCAGCTTTGTAGATCTCAAATTCTTCTATTACGTTTAAGTGTTTGCCTTTGGTTCTGTGAATTTGTACAATTTCTAAATTATTTTCTATTGATGTATATGATCGGTTGTTTGTTATTAGGTGATCGGCAAAAGCAGAATTATTTTTCTGGGTGGATTTCTTCGAGCTTAACTTTTTGGATCTCACAATCTCTTGAGTCAACAGATAAATTACAATTTAAAATATAGGAAACCGACCACAACATCTCAGACCATTCAAATTAACTCACGCCATCCCCAGAGTCATAAAATGGCCGCGTATCACAGTTTCGTTAACCGACTGTTATCTATTCCTATGAACGATAACGACTACATTGATGAAATAAATACCATTAAATACATCGCAGTCTCTAACGGATACAGGAATGACATGGTCGACAAATTAATACAAAAACATAAAAACAAAAATAAAGCTCCAACCACGATTCCAGGAAAAATTGTTTATACTTCAACAGAATATGGCACTAGTCTGAACAACACTTTAAAAAATGAGCTGTCGAGAAACAATGTTAAGTTATCTTTTAGGACCTCTAACAAATTGTCATCCATCCTAAAAGAAAAAGGAAAACCCTCTTCTGACAAAACTGAGCTAACAGGTGTTAACAAAATTAATTGTGACACCTGTCCTAGTTTTTATATAGGTCAAACTGCACGCTCTTTCAAAGCCTGTTTCAAAGAACACCTTCCGAAGAAATCCACCCAGAAAAATAATTCTGCTTTTGCCGAGCACCTAATAACAAACAACCATTCATATACATCAAAAGAAAATAATTTAGAAATTTCACAAATTCACAGAACCAAAGGCAAACACTTAAACGTAATAGAAGAATTTGAGATCTACAAAGCTGGCAAGAAAAATCCCCAACACATCTTGAACGAAAAAGCCTCTTTTGAAAGCAATTTATTATATGAAACAGCAGTCGGCATTGAAAAAATGATAACAACACGGAAAGGATAAGATTAGATAAGATAAGATTAGATTGATTAGATTAGATTAGATTATTTTGATTAGATTAGATTAGATTGATAAGAGCTGGAAGAAGGGGAGGGGGAGAAGGGGATGGACAAGACGGCAGTGACGACAGTCTGGACTTGTAACTCAATGTACACATACCGTCCGCCGCGCAGTCAATTTGTGGCCACACATGTTTTTGTAAAAATGTGTTTAAGTGTTTTAACTGTTCTTCGTTTCGTATTTATTGACTTTATGACGACCTCTTCGGAGTAATTATGTGTTCATTCAACGCCTGATGATGACCCCTTTGATGGGTTGAAACTGGTCGCCTTTCATCAGTGACTTTTTGATCACACTTGTAACAGTTTTACAACAATTATTTAACAGGAAAGAAAAGTTGAATTTTAATCATTGGGCATACAGGACTGATCACCCTGTCAGTAAGTTTATCAGTTGGATAGCTGCAGCTCCAGCCGGCCTAACAATAATCAGCTGGACTTTCCAAGTTAACAAAGGCAAACTCAAACATGTTTTACTCTGCATAACCTCTCCCCCCTTGTCTCTTCCTAAATTCTCAGTGTCAGGTTGCCAGTGAAGACATCTACATCCAGAAATCTATCTTCATGTCTATACTCCCTCCTTGCCCATTTTATGGATCTAGCTAAGGTGAGGTATTTTCTTTTGACAAACTGTAAAATGATTTTATAAATAATGTTTTGATATTTTGAATTTAAAAGTTAACTTTGTTGAAATTTAGAATTATAATATTTTATGAATAAAATGATTTGACAACCAGAATGAACAAACATGATAACTTGTAAAATGTAAAATATGTAAAATGATAGTTGTGTTAAATATTTGTAAATGTTTTGTTGTAAATGTGTTAAATTTCTCTTTATGTCACTTTGTCTTTACTTCCAGTTATTTATTTTGTTATTTGAACTTGTATAAATCAAAAATTTTTTAAGCCTTATGCAACATGAGACAGGTTTAAATTTGAAACTTTCATGTCCTACAGACATGTGATTCAATTCCTAAAATCAACTTACTACAATGTATTACTGTTTTAATATTTCTAGGGTCAACTGGATATTAAATTACATGTTTGATTGTTTTTTTTATGCAATAAGATGATTTTAATATGTACCAGTGGTGATTTAAATGTCTATGAAAATTTGGTAAGATATGTTATGAAACCTAGGCTAGGGTTGAAATATCAAAAAATAGTTTATAAATAAATTTATGTGTTACAGAAATCTTATTTGTGGTTAAAGTGTTGCTGACATTATTTTTTGAAGTTACAAGACAATTTGACTAATTTGTCCAAGTTTAAATGTACCATACAACGTAACGTTAACGTACACTCTCTGCCAGTAAGAATTTGGTTATTTTGTAGAAATCCAATTTAATTATCAACTTAAATAGGTTGTAAATAATGTCATAATTTGAACATGTTTTGTTGATAATAATTAATTGTTGTATTTAAAATATTCATTTTTCTTGTTTTAAAATTGGGATTAATTTAAAGAATCAATTTTCTCACTGTTAGTATAGACAAAGGTCCACAGTTTTAAATGTTAGTGAATAGTATATCTCAATTAGGGTTTAGTTTCTATTTCTTGTATATGCTCAGGGATTACTCTGGGAGAAGACGTGCCTGACTACAGTGAGCCACTACAGTTGTCGTCACCTACCTACTGCCTACCTGTACCTATACCTGGGTTCTGCTGACACCACAACTTGTCGACCCACAACCGACTTGGTCGCTACCTTCTCATACCTGCTGTATACATCGTACCGATAAGTGGCATACCTCATATATCTTAATTTCTTTCAATGAACTCTTTATAATAATAATAATAATAATAATAATAATAATATCACTTTATTGTCATAAAACATTTCACATTTCCAGCAAAGCTGGTGAAACAGATGACATTGTCATTTCTTAGCTAACAAAAATGAAAAACTAAATCTAAGAATTAAAATTAAAATTAAACTAGTCACTTTTTAAAAAACAATCATTTAAATACTCTTCTATTGTATAGTATTTCTTTTTTATAAGGAATAATTTGAATTCTTTCTTAAACTTTATAATACTATTGATGTTTTTAAAATGAGCAGGTAAACCGTTGTAAAGCCTCAGACTCATATAGTACGGTGATCTTTCGTAAACACATAGCCGATGTCTTGGATACTGCAAATTATTTTTTGAACGTGTTGGGTAGTGATGAATAAATTGATTTTTTATAAATAATTGTGGATTACTCTTAAAGTATACCAGAATTTTATAAATGTAAAGTGAAGGCATTGTTAAAATTCCATATGTTTCAAAAAGCGGTTTACATGACTTTTTTTTGTGTGTAAATGATAAGATTCTTAAAAACTTCTTTTGTACCTTAAAAATTGTTGAGGCATATGATGTTGAGCCCCATAACTCAATACCATATTGCATAATGGAAAAAAATATCGCATAATAAACTATCAGCTTTGTTTTAGAATCAATTATTACTGGTACCAGTTAGAATTTAATCTTTGAGGCCAAATTAAGGATAACCAGGAACTTTATTGAAATACTACTGATAAAGTCAAGGATTATATATTGTGTTAGTGCTGGACACTCACCTTCGGACGACCATCAACGGCTCTAGACTGACTTAAGATGGAGTGGGACTTAATTTTAAATATATAAAGTTTAGAGAATTTTGGGTATTAGGTTAGGTATTGTATTATATGTGTATAGATTTATATTGATTCACATTTTCAGGAGTTGTCAGTTCACCATTTATTATGTGTTTGTATAGTTGTAGCCTAAGTGTGTGTGTCTATCTGATATAATCTTTCCAGGAATTTCTGGCCGGCCAAGGTATTTTGATTATATTTATCTGGTATTATAAAGTACATTGCTTAGGCCTGATTATAAACTTGATACTCTACTGTTCTTTATTGTAATAAATCCAGGTTTGCATATTTTAAGTGTTTTCATTATCTAGCCATTTACATAAAATCTTGATTCCTCATAGTTCACCAAACTTTAAATAATTTTTTCTATCTCAATTTTTATCAACTTATCTACCAGTAAATAATTTGGAATTTCATTAAACTATTTTGATTAAGGGTATTATTTGGTAGAATATTTAAGAGTGTTATCACTCTTGCTAGTGTTTAGTGATTAGAATCATCCTAGACTTGTTTTATTGCATAGAATTTTTATTCATATTGGTTGTCAAGTGATATCTCACCTTCACTATTTTTATATCATATATGGGTTTTTTCCTTGTTAACCCTTCTCCCCTGCTTTGAAAACAAGGTGGCGCCCTCTTAAAACAAAAACAAAAAAAAGGCATACAAAGAAAAATACAAAAAAATATACAAAAAAAAAACTGATGAAGAAATATTAGGCTATTGAATTTTGAAGAAATTAGTTTGAAATTTTGGTCAAACCCCCCACCCCCTAGACTGAGCTACTGGGACCGCTACACACTGACGGATTATAAGGTATTTTAACCTATAGTAATAATTTATATATTGTGATCAGGAGGCAAAAAACAACAAAAATGAAGATAATTAAAACTTCAATCAAACCAAACTTTTGCCAAACATTTTTATATTATGATAATATACTTTGAAAAAAAGGATGACAATTTGTATTAAATTTTAATAATATATTTCTTCACTAGAACGTAAAGTGTGAAAGTAAAATACGCTTGGTCAAACCTGTAACTATTTATTGTGCTTCGTTTAAAGTCTAGTAAGGAAGTTCATTGTTGTGTCTTTTTGAAAAAGTGTCACAGTAATTTACCATACTCCAGTTGACTTTACCGATTCCTTTTTGTAAACAGCAACTTTTATGCATACAAAGAGTGGAGAATCCAGTGTAGTTTGGAAAATATCTTGATAAAATGTTGATAATATGTTTCAGGGTGCTTTTCCTGATGAATTTCCCCAGCCAAAAGCAACAAGTGTTCCAAAAAAAGTAAGTTTACACAAATTTTAATAAAAAATCTATTTTTATTTATCAGCACAACCAATAACCACTATCCATAATTTACGGGAAGTTGAAACTGGGCAAACTACTTAGATCTATTAACACATGATTTATAATTTTAAACTGCATTTCTACAGGATATTTTGTTAGTTGTCTTTATGCATACTTCAAAAATTCAAATTTGTTCATGTTCATCTTTGCAACAAGATAAGAAGTAATAAACAGTATCAGCAATCTGGTACATACTTTTTCCTTTTTTGCCACCAACCCTTGTCATGGACAAACAGTGGGAGAAATTATGGGTATTTTATTGGTAAAATCACAAGAGGTGCAATAAAACTTGATCGGGGTTTTTTTTACAGAAATGTGGGCTGTACTATTCTTTTTAGAATTTATAAAACCATAAAACACTAAACTAGTATCAAAATTAATCAAGCAACGTAGTAAGGTCTTGGGTCAGGGGGGTACAGATATCCGTGTTAGTTGTCTTTTTTGCTCCGGAACGGATACACCATCCGTGGTCTCCAAGCTCAGATTTCATGTTGCTGCCTTCGAGACTAACCCCAGGAGTTATGTCTGCCTCACTAGCCGCCACAGCCCTGTGCGCTTCTTCAAGTATGTATAGGTCACTCTTTATTGGTGATCTAGCTGTAAGGGAGCTCCTGGCAAAGGCTTCTTCGCCCCCCTCCACCCTCCTCTCTGAAACAAGTTCTGATAATTTGCCCTCCCCAGAATCAATGGTCAAGCCCTCCATAATGGAGGGGTGGGATTCACACCGAGGTGCTGACCCACCAGGGGGAGTCTCTATAGTTTTTCAGACATCATGTCCTGCTCCTGAAACCCACAAGTTATCAGTTTGATAGCCGTACTGTGTTCCATTCACTCTGCCCATCAATAGGCCTACGTTCTCCAGCACCGCTGCACACACACCAGAACTGGCGGGCAGTGCAGCAGCCTTTCCGTGATACATTCACTCCGCCTGCTGCTCAGTGACACTGGGCTAGCACCGGTGTCCATCACAGTAGTTTGATAAGCCAGCATTTATACCCTGCTTAAATGGATGGGTTGTATCATCCAGCCAGCTCTTCAACCCCAAAATTGGTTTTGACTGAAGACAACTTAAAGGAGGTGATTTATGATCTGAAAAACAATCCTAAGGTTGCATTTGCAAACACTATCCCTGTAGATTTTACTGACACTAAAGCCTCAAACCAATTTAAAATCCAGGTAATTTCAACTTATCTTATTAACTCATCTTTGATATCAGGAATTTTTCCTAACAAACTCAAAATTACTAAATTAAAACCGGTATTCAAAAAAATAATGAAATCTGAGGGATTAGTTGAAAAAGCTATTATTAGTACTGTATTAGATATTATCTGGTCTAAAAGCAGTTTCTGTTTGTACAGGACGGCAGTAGCCACGGAGGTTTGGCTGTAGGAGTGGCAGACAACGCTCCCAGCTTCAACCAACAGGTAGAGTACCACAGAGAACATTCACTAGAGTAATAATAAACTTAGGGTTTCTCTTTTTTTTTGTTTGACATAGGCCTAAAAATGAAAAAAAAAATGGGTGAGGTTATCTGTAACTATACAAATTTACTTAGGATCATTAAAATATTTAGTAAAGAAAGCTTACTTTACTTTATTTCATTGAGTTGCAGCTTGCTACATTAAGTCTGCAAAATGAAAAGAATGTGAAATAAAATACCTATGTGTATCTTATTTTATAAAGAGTTCGAAACTTGTATGGTTCAAATGTGCTACATTTACTTGTCTGAATATGCTTCTATTTAGCCTACACAAAACTTTCCTGAAATTTGTTGCGCTATTTTAAACTACTCCTTCCTAAGTCACTCATAGTTAAAAAGATTTTACATTTGAAACTTAGTGGCCCGATGAGTGGTATCTGTGTTTCGTAGAATGTCCTCAAGTAACTGTTTGCTGGACAGGTGTATCGCATAGGAGACTTTGTGTATGCAGAACCGAAGGAGCGAGGCATGGACCCGATACTGCTCAACATCCAGCGACTGTGGACCAACCAGGAGGGACAGCAGATGTTGTATGGCAACCAGTACTACAGGCCAAAGGAGACCTACCACGTCACAACTAGGACGTTCCTTGAGAAGGTCAGTGTTAGATAGTTGTCAGTTGATCCCATGTCTCTATGACGATCACATTCAATCATTTCTTGATGTGTTTTGTCAGCTGGCATTACACTGACACAATACTGATAGGTAAACTGTGGCAAAAATATGGAGCAATTAATTTGTAAATTCTATCTCAAACTATGTTGCATACTAGACAGCGCTGGTTTCAGTTTTGTTGATGAGGGGAGGGTGGAGGGCACAGCAGCGATGATGTTGCCATCTAAACATGGTGCTCAGAATCTATAATACAGCAAAACAGTGTACTACTCACAGCATCACCTGGTTGCTCCTTCTTGTGTAAAGTAATCGTTTTTAGTTTTAGTTAGTGTCTGTCTACCTGAAACATAAAAATGGACAGAAAAATATTCAGAAACTTTCCTTGAGTTTAGTTACCTTTTTATTGATACTCCTGATTGCAATCTTTTTCTAACATAAGCTCACTACAAACAACATTAAACTTGTAAGGACAAACTTATCCCCAAACTCACAACTAGTTGATATGATAATAGAAGATACGACTTGTGGTGTTGCAGGAGGTATTCAAGACGAACCAGCACGTGGCGATCCCTCTCAACCAGGTGCTGGGCCGGTGTTGTGTGCTCAGTGTCAAGGACTACTTCCGCTCTCGTCCAGACAACTTTGAGGAGAAGGACGTCTACGTCTGTGACTCCCGATACTCGTCCGAAGCCAGGAGAGCCTTCAAGAAAATTAAGGTAAACGATAGGGTAACTCTAGAATTTAATTTTTTTTCCGTTCCATGCTGTTTAAGATGTTTGATTTTATATAATGTAAATATATGCTATATTATCTCCTCATTTGTGTCATGAATGAAAAATGGTTTGTGTTAAAGTATCGATGAACATAAGCTTGGTTAGAAATTTACTTTACTTACAAGTATATTAGTCCCCTATCAAATGTACATATACAGGCTCCCGTGTGCTCCTTAATGAGGGAGGTGTGGGAGTAGTCTTAGTCTCTTCGTTTGGCCTTGGAGAAATACAATTTCGATGGTGGCACTCTTGAAAATGGTGCGTTTGAACGCTGTGGGTAAAAAACAAAATAGCCGCCGTCGCAAACTTGTTTTCTTACTTATATCAGTAACCGTTAGAGTTATGAAAGAATTGTTGATACCAAAATGTAGCTATTTTAAATCTGCACAAAAAAGATTATTACAGTTTTTTATGTAGGATCAACCATTCTTTCATAAAACATAATTTTATATTTTTCATAAATAAAATTATCAGGGTGGATGTAATGTCCCAGGACTGTTAAATATTTCAAAAAGTAATAAAGGGTGTTTCAGTAAAGCGTAGTGGGCTATGCAGATTCAGATTCTATGTGCAAAAATAAGTCGAAAATGTAGTATAACATTTTTTCGACTTCGGCTTATCTTAGCCATAATCCGCCATTTTGTATTTTTTGAAAATAATTCATAACTCAAAATCCCTTAGAGATATTTTTATGAAACTTGGTATTGTCACGTCACTCCTCTTCCAAGGGGTGCGAGGGGGGGCTCGCTTGGGTGAGAGGTGGTGTAGAAAATCAGCACTCGACAAATCAACTAACCAACGAACTATTTATTTAAATAAAAGAAACGTACTTCCCTAACTTAACACTAACAAATCAAAATTAATATACCCTGATCTAAATATCAAGGTTCCGACCGACCCTCTACCCGATCACGTGACGACGCGTCGCGGATCTACCGACACTCTCTGTCTTCTGAGACCTTCTCGGCCCCGTGTCTCGCAGCTCACTGCCTCTGTTGTCGTCCAAGCACCACGGCTCGGGGATGCTGTCTCAGCAGTCTGCCCCAGCATACTGCTCGACTTGCGTGGGATATGGGCCCCACGTCACAGTATAAACTTTTAAGTCTACAACTATATACATTCTCCGAAAAAATCTTTGATCAGGCTCATCAAATTTCAAAATGGCGGCCATTAAAACTTTTTAAAGTCAAATTCCATGAAAACCAGCAATTAAAACAAAACTTTGAAACACAATATGTAAACTCCTTTTTATTACAAATCGAACGACACTTAATTTGTGAAAATCGGATGATAAATAAAAAAGTGATGTAACTTTTATAATGTTTTTGTTACTAGTTTCTATGGAATTTAACTTTGTGATTTTAAAATGACTGCCATTTTGATAATTACAACTAATAATAAAAGTTACATAACATTTTTATTTATTATCCGATTTTCGCAAATAAAGTGTTATTCGATTTTTAATAAAAAGGACTTTAAATAATGTGTTGCAAAATTTTGTTTTAATAGCTAGTTTTCATGGAATTTGACTTTAAAAATTTTCAATGGCGGCCATTTTGTATTTTACCCACAGCGTTCAAACGCACCATTTTCAAGAATGCCACCATCGAAATTGTATTTCTCAAAGGTCAAACGAAGAGATTAAGACTACTCCCACACCTGCCTCATCAAGGAGCACACAGGTGTACATTTGACAGTGGACTAATTTATAAGCCTACACGATAATTGTGTGTCCATTTCTTTTTACGTAATTTTTTCATAAGATAAGTGCTCTTTCCTCCAGAAACTATTACTATACTAAAAAATTGCATAGCCAGATCTAAACTAAGCATTAATAGAACATGACTAGCTGTGTACCCGTTCTACGCACGGGGATCTTATAGTAATCAGTTGAAACCTTCTTATATAAAGAACAGCAGTTGGTTTGCATATTTTCAGATATGCTGGCCAAACTATTATACATAACTTCATTTTATGTCGTTTGTTGTTGTTCCGGATCGGTATG